GTTGGCTTGATAAAAGGGTTGAAAAAGACATTTTTTATTCTCTGGAAGAGTTATTTAAAAATCATTTTTTCTTCCTTAAATGTTTTGAAGATTCATTCATGAAGCTGTTTAGGGCTGAAGGTTTTAAATTCAGAATGACTGCTCTACAATCTCATAGAATAGAATAAATTGGAAAGGATATTCATATATTGTTTAACTTAATAAATAACTTAGTAAGTTAATAAATTAACTGGGTCAAAGAAGGAGGGCATAGCATCTCTTGTCTACTCCCCAATTCACCCTCTAGTCCCTGCTCCTCCTCCTTTATGCCCCTTTCCCTGCCATTTGTTTACTGTTTCCTTCCTTCTCCAAAATTTTGAGCACCTACCATGCCAGAAACTGTTCTAGGAGTTGAAGAGAAGGTAGATGACAAATTAGTCAAAGTCTGTGCCCTCTTCAAGTTTCATACTAGTGAGGGAGGGCAGGGCTGCCTAGAAGTAAACAGATAAACAAGATGGTTCATTGAGTGAAGGTAGGGATGATGGAGTGCTCAACAACTCATATAGCATATCCTCAGTCACAGTTGACTGGGGCACTGTGTGGGAGAAGAGTCCTGGAAACTCTTTCAGGACAGGCCATAACCCCTTAATTGCTTGATTATGACAACGTACATGTGAAGGTAGGCAGGAGGAAGAGTTCTAGAGGAAGGGGAATGGTCAGCGCTGTGGAGGACCTTTGGGCAGGGGCGAGCGGTGTCTGAGGAAGTATTTATCAACTAGAACAGAGTTATGCCCCTATTCTAAAAACCAGTAACTCTGTACTGATGCCAATCATTTCATATCAGCTTTGGGGTCTTAGTGACTGGTGGTGGGCAGAGCATGAAAGGGGAGGCTATTATAGAGAGTAACATTGAAAATGGCCTCTCAGGTAAGACCTGAATGACAGGAAAGAAAAGCTCAAGGAGCAATCAGGCCGCAGGTAAAGGTGGGGAGAGCATTCTAGCCAAAGGATAGCAAAGGCAAAAATGATGAGGTGCAATAAGCCTGACATGTTTACAGAATGATAGGAAGATTAAAGTTGCTGGAACATTATGCTGAGTGGATGATAAGAAATTAGGTCAGATGATAGGCACAGGCCCAGATCTTGTATGGCCTTTCAGGCCATGATAAGAAAGTAAAATGAGAAATGGAGAAATTATATTATCTGACTTGCATTTTTAAGAGCTATAGTAATATAGCTGCAGTGAGGAGAATGGATTGGGGATCAGGGAGAGGACTGAAGAAGCTTTTGTTGTTGTTGTTGTTGTTTTTGTTTGGCTTTTTTTTTTTTTTTTTTTTAGCCTAGAGACAGACAATGGTAGCCCGGTTCAGAGTGATGGCAGTGGAAGTGGAAAGAAGTGGCTGATTCAATATTTATTTGCAAGTTGTGGTGGTTTTACCGATATGTCACACATTCTTTGGTATGCCTTCCCTCAAGAGATGGAGCTTAATTCTCCTGCCTTTAAATATGGACTGGAGTTGTTTGCTTCTACCAAAGAGAATATGGCAGAAGTTAAGAAGTGTGACTTTTATGGTGAGGTTGTGGCTTCCATTTTGGCAGCATGCTCTCTTGCTCTGTTAGTTTGCTCACCCTGGAAGAACTCAACTACTTTATTATGCTACAGCTCTGTGGAAAGGCTCTTAAAGCAAGACACCAAAGACTGCCAAGAATGATGTGAGTGATCTTGGAAGCTGATCTTACCTCTTCCACCCGACTCCAGATGAGCCTTCAGATGAGGGTACAGCTATACTAGTCAGGATTCTCCATAGAAATAAAACCAACAGCATAGATGATAGATAGATAGATAGATAGATAGATAGATAGATAGATAGATAATAGATAGATAGATAGATAGATGATTGATAGATAGATAGATAGATAGATAGATAGATATAGATATAGATATTTATAATGGAAATTGGCTTACATGATTATGAAGGCTGAGGTATGCCATGATAAGGTATGCCATAATCTGTAAACTGGAGAGCCAGGAAAGCCAGTGGTATAATTCAGTCCAGTCTGAAGGCTGAGAAATGAGGGGGCCACTGGTATAAGTTCCCAAGTCTGAAGGTCCAAGAGTCAGAAACTTTGATATCCAAAGGCAGGAGAAGATGGATATTCCAGATCAAGTAATGAAAAAGAGAATCTGTCCTTCCTCCACCTTTGTGTTCTATTCAGGTCCTCAAAGGATTGGATGATGCTTATGAATTTTAATGAAGATTGGTCTTCTTTACTCAGTTTATTGATTCAAATGCTAATCTCTCCTGGAAACTCACAACACACCCAGAAATAATTTACCAGCTATCTGGGCATCCCTTAGTCTAGTCAGGTTTACACATAAAATCAACCATCACAATTCTGGCTGACAGTTCATCTGCCAATTCATGAAAGACCTTGAGCCAGAGATATCCAGTTATGCCACGCCTAAGTCACTGAACCCCAGAAATTATAATAAATGTCTGTTGTTTTTAACTGCTCAATTTTGATATAATTTGTTGTGCAGCAATAGATAATTAATGCAGAAGGAAGACCTGTGGGATTGACTAATATATTTGGTGCAAAGAGCTATTAGAGAAAAGGATGGGTGAATGAAGATGCCTAAGTTTCAAGCTTTTGAGCAACTGGATGGTAGACGTGCCATTTATTGAAGTGTGAGAGATTGGAGGACATAACCTGTTGGGGTGGGTAATCAAGAGTTCTAGTATGGACACATTTTAAGAAAACTATTAGACATCCCAGGGGAAGTATAAACCAGGCAGCTAGTCAGTAAGCACAAAGTGAGTGCTCACCAGCCAACAGTCATTAATGTTTAATAAGGGACCACTCTTTGCCAGGCTTTCTATGATTTGAGGTCATAGTGGGAAACAAGATAAAACCCCCAAACTCAAGGAGCTTCCATTCCATTAGGCAGCAACAGACCACAAATGTATATTAACAAGATGATTTCAAGAACAATGAATAATGAGAGATATGGGATAATATCAAAAGGATGCTGGAGACGAGGCATGCTACTTTAGCTAGAAATATCAAGGATTATTTATTAGAGCCACAGTCATAGGCTTGAGCTAGTTGTATACATTTTGGAAACACTAGCATACTGATGGTTTTTAAATCCAATGGAGTTGATGGGATTGCCTCATGAAAGAATGTAGAAAGAAATTTTAGAACAAGTTTTAGGGCTTCATCATTTAAAGGTCAGTGACAGGAGGGCCCTGCAAAGAAGATGAGGAAGTTAGGGGAAAAAATCAGGAGAGGGTGGATCACAGAATCCAAGAGAGGTAGTATTTGAAAAGGGCGTGGCAATTTGTAGTCAATGTGCTTACAAGTTGAGTATCGTTATAGAGGAGTAGTAACCACCAGATTTGGTAACATGGATATTATATTGTTATATTAATAAGAGCAAATTCTATTCTCGAGTCAAAGGAACACAAGCTATTTTAGAATGGGTTAAATAGAGAATGAGAGATTAGAGATACTCCCTAAAGTTAGTTGCTGAACCAAACAATCATTTTCTTATACTCATAAACAATGAGGAAGAAATTTGGGCAGGGCTCAGCAGGTAGACTCTTCTGCTCCACATGGTGTCAACTGAGTGACTGAATGGTATTCATCTGGCGGCTGGACTAGTCTGGAGCGTCGAAGAAAGCTTAATTCATATGTCTGCCACCTTGATGTAGATGGTTAGAGGGCTGGCCACTTTTCCTTTCCACGTTTGGAAACTTTCCTGTGAAAACTCCAATGGGGTGATCAGATTTATTACGCAGAAGCTCAAGGTTTAAGAGCAAGTGTTCCAAGAGACAGGAGGTGGAAGATGTTGCTTTCTAAGGCTGTCCCTGCAAACTTGAATAGCATCATTGTATTTTATGAGTTAAGGCATTCACAGAGTCAGCACCCACTTGAGGGGAGAGATCCTGTACCCACTTCTCGATAGGAGAAGTATCAAAGATTTTGTGGCCATCATTACTCTGTTACAAGAGGTGATAAAATGGAAGCAGCAACTGGTGGCAAATCTTTCAGAGCTTTAAAAAAAAAACTGGAGAGAGAGAGGAACAGAGAAAGAGAGAAGAATTAGAATGTGGGGTCAAAGAGCATTTACCCCAGAAAACTGTGACACTAGAGCACATTGGTATCTGATAGCATTATTCCAGAAAAGAGGAATAGATGGATGTTGCAGGAGAGAAAAGGTGCACGTGGGACCAACATCCTTGAGAAGGAAAGAAAGAAAGGCAATGGCTGGCATTTAGTAAAGCAGGAAATAGTTCTTTCATGGTAACAGAAGAGAAAGGAGACATTGGGTGCAAAGGCACCTCCCTTCTGGCCTTGCTTAGATGTCCCTGTAACTGAGGTTTCCTGATCTCCATCCTGTAGATGACACCTCAGTTTTCCTTATCTTTCATTCCCACTTTTTCTTTTCTATAGAATATGCGTACATCCATAATGGTTCCATGCATCACCTACAGCACTATATAGGCAGTAGTGTTACATCTGATGGATTTCTAGCACATAGCAGGTACTCAATAACTGTGCATGAGGGCCTGTATTGAATGAACATCGCAGTGATGTATTTACTGAGCTGTAATGTCAGGAGTGTAGCTCAGAGATTGAGATGCTTGAAATCCAGATGTTTGATAGCAGTAGCCTGGGGAGAAGAAAGTGAGACCTTGGGGGTTCTAATCACAGTCCTTTCTTCCTCTGTGCCTTTATTCGCTGAGTCACGGAGATTACATTACATGAACTCCTCTGACCCGCAGGGATTAGGACCTTGTGGCCACAAAGCAAGTGCTCATCAAAGCCTGGCTCTCTTTTCCCACAGCTCTCCATTTCCACCAACCAGCATGCTCTTCCCTCTTGCCCAGTCTAGGCAACTGTTCCTCTCTTCTCTTTAAAGCCTCTGGGCAGCACACAGCTCCCGGCCTCTGCTGCTGATCTCAAGCCAGTGCCCTGGTGCTGCGGAGAGGGAGGGGAGGGGCGGGGAGGGCAATCCGGGCGGCCCTAACTGGGGTCAGGCTGCCACAGCTCAGTTTCCAACAGTCTGCGTCTCAGCCCGGCCCAGGCCTGTGTTCCTGTCCGAGCCATGGCAAAGCTGATGGTGCTCACCCTCTTGGGGCTGGGACTAGCGCTCTTCAGAGATCACCGGGCTTCTTATCTGTAAGTTGGGTTGTGGTGAGGGCTGCAGCCCGGGTCCTTCCCACCCCGCCAACCACAGGAAGGCCCCCTGGAAGTGGGGTGTAGTCTTTTTAACCAAAAGTCCCAGGTAAGTTTTAGATGCACACCCCACAGGTTGAAAACATGTCCTTGTTCACGGCGGGAGACACGAAGTAAGGAGACAGTCATCACTGGTGTGATGGCCAAGTGGTTGGCATACACAAATTGATTTTTCATGAAGATCCATATGTCTGTGAGATTCACTTCTCATTTTCACCTCTAAATAGATCACCGGACCTGGGATCTCCCTCTGATTATTGTGTTAGTTAGGGAAGGAGCTGCCTAGTCATGGCATAAATCTTTCCCAGCTTGGAGATTCTCAATTTGAGGCTACACGGAGACATAAAACGCCTGTGGAGCAGAGCAGGTGGGAGTAAACACACCCTGCAGGGGCCTGCTCTGACCCCTTACCCACTCCAATTGGGCGAGGGAGTGGGGGTAGAAGGTGGCGGGTAGGAAAGAACCCTGGCACAGGTATTTGATGCCAGGGGTTCTTGCTCTGTCCCTTCCATTATGGGATCTTGGGCAAATCATTTTATATCTCTAACATTCCCTGCTTCAATAAGCCTGAACCAATAAGACACACTCATATAGGAAGCTGCTAACACCCTGCCTGGGATATAGTAACTATTCAATAAATGTTAGTGTTCTGCTTTCCTTAAAGCACTTATAAACCGTAGGTACTGTAAACAGGGTGGGAGGGGATGGTTAGTTTTTCAGAACATTTCAGTAGTTTCATGGTAACTTTACAGGGGTTCAAAGTCTAAAGACCATCTTCAGTCCTACGGTTTAGTCAATATCTAGTTATTTACTTAAAAGTAAAACATTACTAAAAATCAAATTGAACAGTTTAGACTTTTAAAAATCTTAGATGACCCTAAGCTTTCTTTCAGAATCACTTTTTGCAAACTATTGGGTTTTTTCTTCTAATTATTGATTATTTTTGTAATCATGAACTGTTAGAGAAAAGTAACAGGTAGTGATTTGAGGTTCAAATCATGTAAAAATTATGGCTTGTCGATTTTCATTAAACATAGTACTATCAGATGCTAAAGGAGAATCCCTATATATACATATATATTTTTGTTTTTATTTTATTATATTTATTTAAATATGTATTCCCCCCCCCCCCGCATATATGTGAGTCACGGTATTATCCTGGGATGAAAATAAATGAGATATAAAGATCTAACACTCCTTCTAGGCTATATCGTTTCAATTCTTCATCTATACCTGGGTTTGTTCTCCCCCCACTTTTCCCATGGCCCCACACCAAAATGTTTTCCAAAGGATTACAGATCTGTCAGGAAGGAGTGAGGGTTTGTCTCTCTGGTTTACCTTTCTTAATTTATGCTGAGAATGGAGACTGTAGGCATGGTGTATATGTTTTTGTGTAAAAGCATAGCTTTACTATCCCAACCCTGAAAAGTTTCTCTCTCAACATGTAGTCTTAGCTTATATGATTCAACTTTAATATTTCCCCAACTGTGTTCCTTAGCATGAGCCACAAGATTTGCTCCACAAAAAAACCCCACATTCCTTGGACACATAAATTTGGGAAATGTCTATTATAGCCTTTTCGTGCAGACTGGCAGTGCACTCAGGCATATTGAAAAGCTTTGAAAATTCCTTCAGCTACAAAACAAAACAAAACAAATTTTGCTTTAAGTCATCATTTCACAGACTTATCAGCCCACACCTCATTCCCTTTTGGTACCATTTATAAACATAAACATCCTGTAAAACTCTCTGGGATATGGTTTGAAAAGGACTATTCAATAGCATTGACTTGCACCAAGACAAAGTTCAACCTCAAAATGTTGGGACCTATCCTTAGGTAGCAAGGGGACCTGGGCCTTGTTTCTGGGCCTCTAACTTGATTCTGATTTTTCTGAAAGGACCAAAGTTTGATATGATAATAGCCCAACATAACATCAGTCTCTGCAAGTCCCTTTGTTGGCCTTGCCTGTGGTTTCCTGATGTGGATAGCATGTCTGCAGGAGATGCTTTGCTGTGGGGCCGCCTCAGTGGGAAGACCTGGAGTCTGGTTTGGAATTCAGAACTTACTGCTTTATTTTCAGCATCTGGGTCCAGTGAATGGGGAGGGGACCTTAGTCCTTAAACTTCTACCTGTATGGCTAAGATTAAAACACAGGAAACTAATAGATGTTAGTGAGGAAGCAGAGAAAATGGAACCCTGTTAGACAATTAGTAATGCAAACTGGTGCAGCCACTCTAGAAAAAAATATGGAGATTCCTTAAAAAGTTAAAAAAGAGCTATCTTATGACCCAGCAATTGCACTACTACATATTTACCCAAAGGATGCAAAAATTCAGATTTGAAGGAGTACATACACCCCAATGCCTATAGCAGTGTATTCAGTAGCCAAAACAATGGAGAGGGCTCATCAACAGACGAATGGGTAAAGAAGATGTGGCATATACATACAGTGGAATATTACTCAGGCATCAAACAGAATGAACTTTTGTCATTTGCTACAATGTGAGTGGAGCTAAAGTGTATTATGCTAAGTGAAGTAAGTCAGAGAAAGACAAATACCATATGATTTCACTCATATATGGAATTGAAGAGAACAGATGAACATATAGGAAGGGCAGGGGAAAGGAGAGAGGGTAATAAACTAAAAAAGACTGTCAAGGATAGAGAACAAACTGAGAGTTGATGGAGGGAGGTGGTGGGGGATGGGCTAGATGGGTGATGGGTATTAAGGAGGCCGCCTGTTGTGATGAGCACTGGGTATTGTATGTAAGTGATTTATCATTGAATTCTACTTCAGAAACCAATATTGCACTGTAGGTTAACAAGGTAAAATTTAAATTTTAAAAATCCCACTTAAAAATGAAAGAAAAAAAAACCCATCTACCTGTAATCAGACAACTGAGAAGGGAAGACGGAAGTGGGAGTGAGATGAACCTTTGATTTTAGAAGGGAAAGGGAATCTAGAAGAACCTGGGGAATAGGAGCAATGCAGCACCAAGAGGAGGGTGGTAATGGAGGATGAGAGCAGCCCAGACTTGAGAAGGAAGGGAAATTGCATCCACTGTTTGAAAGGCCCTAAAGCCTCAGTCTTCAAAGGGGCTGTGGACCAGATGCATGAACATCAGTTGGGAGCTCACTCTAGTTGCACAATCTCAGGCCTCATCCCACTCTATTGAATCCAAATCAGCACTATTTAAGGAATTCCCCAAGGGATTTATAGGTAGTTCTTTAAAGGACATTCAAATCCTGTTAAAACTAGATCAAGAGATCTGGAGAAGCAGTAAATTACTTTTGTTACCATTTAGAGGTAAGGCCCTCAAGTCCCAGAGAAGATCATGAATCTGCCCCAGGAAGACAAGGGAAGAGAGTAGTCCTGAGGCTCCCAAGGGGAGCAAGCCAAAGCCCCACAGTGGAAACACCCTTTTTGCTTCAGAGATCAGGTATACAGGAGGAGGGCAGGTTCACTTGAGATTGTACAGGTCTGGGTTAGAGGGAACTTGTTTTTTTTGTTTTTTTTTGTTTTTTTGTATTTTATTTCTTTTTTTTAATAAATTAATTTTTATTGGTGTTCAATTTACCAACATACAGAATAACACCCAGTGCTCATCCCGTCAAGTGCCCCCTCAGTGCCCGTCACCCATTCACCCCCCGCCCTTCTCCCCTTCCACCACCTCTAGTTCATTTCCCAGAGTTAGGAGTCTTTATGTTCTGTGTCCCTTTCTGATATTTCCCACACATTTCTTCTCCCTTCCCTTATATTCCCTTTCACTATTATTCATATTCCCCAAATGAATGAGAACATACACTGTTTGTCCTTCTCCGATTGACTTACTTCACTCAGCATAATACCCTCCAGTTCCATCCACGTTGAAGCAAATGGTGGGTGTTTGTCGTTTCTAATGGCTGAGGAATATTCCATTGTATACATAAACCATATCTTCTTTATCCATTCATCTTTCGATGGACACCGAGGCTCCTTCCACAGTTTGGCTATTGTGGACATGGCTGTTAGAAACATCGGGATGCAGGTGTCCCGGCGTTTCATTGCATCTGAATCTTTGGGGTAAATCCCCAGCAGTGCAATTGCTGGGTCGTAGGGCAGGTCTATTTTTAACTCTTTGAGGAACCTCCACACAGTTTTCCAGAGTGGCTGCACCAGTTCACATTCCCACCAACAGTGTAAGAGTGTTCCTAGAGGGAACTTGTGAAAGGATTCAAATGATGTCTCGAGGGGGGTAACTGATGCTTTCGAGGTGATAACAGCACAGAGGAAGGAGCTGAGAGAGCTCCTCTGGATCAGTAGTCTCCCCTGCCCATCTTTGTAGTCCTCTGTTGTGACCTTGTAGGCTGTGCACGCGCAAATCCAAGGCATGCCTTGGACTAATTGATAGAAACAGCGCCCTGGGGGTGTGGAATGTGGCATCTGTGTGGCAACTTCCCCATTTCTAAATTGCTGCTTATAATGTGGGAGACACTGTTTCCTTTCAGTAGAAGGAGATTTCAGCACCCCACACCCACTCCACACTCCACACCACAGTGGGAAGAGGGCATTGGTGGATTCCAGCAGACCTGGCCTGGATGCCATTTCTGCAACTTCCAAGTCACTTTACCATGCTGACCCTATCTCTCCACCCAAAACTTATGGAATGATAATACATATCACGGTAGGATAAATACGAAATCTGGCACATGAAAGTTACATATGTTAGCTTTTATTTTTGCCATATGCTATTGCAAAAATCCACCTATGAATGATCCACCTAATGAGTGATATTTGAATATATATTAGGATAATACCTCATGTGACCCTAGGCTAAGGTTGTATAAATAACTCTCCAGCCTTTTCTATTGATGCAACTGATACCACTTTTTCCATCTGGTGCACCAGCCTAGTATTTCCACAAAACAACTCAGCAGATATCTGCAGAGTACCTTGTCTCTGCCACCACTGGGTTCTTGCTGGGTCACAGGGGTAAATAGGATGCAGTATTCGCTCACAGATCCCAGAGTTTACTATGAGCAACAAGACCAAAAACTGATAACTGCAAAACAATAGGTAAGAGACTTGCTAGACGTATATATGTGGAGGCTAATGAGGCTAAAGGAGTTGTTAATCCTATCACAGAAGTCCAGGAGGAGCTACAGAAAGGCATGAGGAGGAGTCTTCCCCCCGGGGTGAGGAGCTATGGACCTTCTAGGTGGAAGGAGAAGTGTGAACAAATGCAAAGAAGTGTGACAATAATATAGAGAAAAGGGCCCTGTACGATGACACCTCATTTCAGATCCCAACTCTATCCTTTTAAAGAATCAACAACAAGCAAACAACATAACTTCTCCATGTCTCAGTTTTCTTACCTACCAATCAGCCAAAATATTAATCGTTGCCTCAAAAGTGACAAGGAGATTAATTGGGGCAGTATGTATTAGAGCCCTTAGCATAGGGCTTGGCACACAGTAGATCCCAATAGGGAATATTGGTTGAATGAGGAGTGTATATAGTGGCAGAAAGTAGACTGATGAGGCTGCATATGGCCCCAAGGAAAGTTCCAGAGTGGATTTCCTAATGCATAAACTAAAGATCCTTACTTTCTTTTCTAAGAGGCAAGCACATATTTGCGAAGGATAATTCACAGTAGGGATTGTGTGATTCCTGGCCAGACCTCAGAGGCCTTATGAATCAGGGACACATCTCACACATTGACTGTTACATCCCTTAGACCTGGGACATTTGGACCTAACAAGCCCTTGATCAGATATTTCCTGGTCATGGAGATTAAGATAGAAAAATATGAACTAGGTTATCATAACACAGAATTGTCTTCTGGTGATTCCTCCAGTTTCAAGCAGTGTTACCTGTACATTCTGAGCAGAGGACTGAGTGTGAGCTTTGCATTCTTAATGAGTTCCAGTCCCAAGTCAGCCACTTCATAACCTCGTGGATTTGGAAAGCCACTTAATCTTCGTCATCCGGAAAGTAGGGAAAGTAATACCCCAGGGAGGTGTTTGAAGATTAAATGAGGGTATATACAGAACCTCAATTATAGTAGCAATGATTATTCTGTTGAGATATGAGTGTTTTTTGGACACAAACATGAACTCCAAGCAACTGAGTGCTGACTTCATGCCTCCTTAGCTACCCTGGGCTCCAGGCAGCTGTGATTATTCTATTCTTTCCTGGTTAGAGATTGTCTTCCATGTGAGAGAAGCCTGCAGTAGGATAGGAGCTGATCTGTTGAGCTGATCTGTTGTGCTTTTTCTCTGCCTTCTATGATCCCATCAGGTTTGATGGGCCTTGTGAGCCAGGCAGTGCACCTGTTCTTCCTGTGTGGTTTTGACTCTGAGAAAAGCTAATTTGGCTGTCCTTGGTATTTTTCACAAGTCTTGGCCCACTCAAAAAAGTTTAAAACAAAAAAAATGAAATATGCTTCAAAATAATCTGAAAGAAGTAGAGAGTGGTCAGAGTAGAGATGAAACAGGACTGATGATGTATTGATAAATGTTGAAGAAGGTGATGGGAACAGTAAATTCATTACACTATGTTATCTACTCTGGGTGTCGTTTTTATATCCTATAGAAAAAAATAAAAAAGTTTAAAGCAAAACAACAACAACAACAACAAGTCTTGGCCCACTCAGTGATTTCACATCTTTGAATCTCTTCTGTGTCACTTTTTAAATTGTTTTGTATAGGACCTGTACCTTTCCCATCGTTTGTGCTGGTCCTTAGAATCCCCTGGGGCACTTTACAGATATTCACTGAGATTTCTCTAGACTAATATTTTTCAGAATGGTGATTCACAAATCAATTTTAGTAGACTATGGCCAGCATTTTAAAATGAATGAAATAGAATTGAATAGAAAAGCTAAAAATGTATTACATGCATTCGGGTATTCTTTTGTGAACCTGTTTTAGGGGTATGCGTGTGTGTGTGTGTGTGTGTGTGTTTCATGCAAAATGCTTTCCAAATGCATCATCACTTTCCCTTTATTTCTTTATTGTGAACTTTCCCATTTTTTAAAATACCCCATAGTGGAGCGCCTGGGTGGCTCAGAAGTTGAACGTCTGGCCTTCGGCTCAGGATGTGTTCACAGGGTCCTGGGATTGAGTCCTGCATCGGACTCCCTACAGGGACCCTGATTCTCCCTCTATGTCTCTGCCTCTCTCTTGGTGTTTGTCATATATAAATAAATAAAATCTTTACAAATAAAAAAATAAAATAAATAAATTAAATACTCCGTAGTTTCTCAGGTCATAGGGGGCAAATCCCAACTTTCCCTTGCAGTTGGATTTGTAAATTCAGGTTCATCATTCAGGGAACCACCCCCTACTTACAGGCCAGGACTTCCCCATCTACTCATTTACCTTTGGAGCTCTAGCACCCAGCTGGTGGTTCTCTACTCTGGTTATGCTTCAGGACAAACTGTGGTGCTTTAACAAAGCTGATTGCTAGACCCCACCCCCACCTGGTAGATCAGATCCTAACCGTGAGATTGATGGCCAGTGCCATGGTGGTAGGAACATTTTACATTTTTTTCTGAATGAAAGGATGAAAGATGAAGCACCCCAAATTCCTATTATTTTCTACTATCTTAAGAATTTTATCCAGAGTGCCCCCTGGCTCATCCTCTTCCTCTGTGAGACTAAATTATCAGTAAGGCAAGTGAATAATTTCTCAGCTTATTTTTAACCAAATAATATTTCTGAGCATTCTTAGATAGTTGTTGCTACTCACTAAGACCATATTATATAATTAGTTCTAAAAAAATATGTGATCGTTCACATCTTTTGTCCTTGCTGACATTGTGGGCTAGTTCTTTTAATTTTTTTTTAAAGATTTTATTTATTTATTCATGAGAGACATAGAGAGAGAGAGGCAGAGACATAGGCAGAGAGAGAAGCAGGCTCCATGTGCAGGAAACCCGATGTGGGACTCGATCCCGGGACTCCAGGATCACACCCTGGGCCAAAGGCAGGCGCTCAACCACTGAGCCACCCAGGCATCCCCGGGCTAGTTCTTTTAAATGCCTCAGCAATAGTTTTGCTCTGCTCCTTCTTCCATCTGTCCTTTTCCCTCTGTCCTTCCCTCAAATGTTCCCTGCCATGTTTATGCACTCAGTGTGTGTGTGTGTGTGTGTGTGTGTGTGTGTGTGAAATGTCTTTATATGCTGGCCTTGGGTGTGATTTTCTGAAGTTATAAATCCTTTAAGCACACCTGTGGTTTTCCGGTGACATAACCCAAAGCAGATGCCCAGTCCAGGCTTTGGAGCCAGAGTGGGCAGATGGGTAGGAGGCCCATCTGTCAGCAGCCAGAACACATCAATGGAGTAAATTGGAACCATGTTGCTATTTAACCCAAATTTCCACATAGGACTCCTTACACAGCTGATGAAATAGTTCCTATTCCTCCTGCCAAAGTGCACAGAGCTCTGGAGAGGACACTATGTATTTCCTTTGTGGATCCATCCACCTCTGCTAATAAACCCTGAATGTACCCAGGGGCACCATGGTTCTTGCTCTGGCCTTGTCCCGTAGAATTGCTCACACTTTAGGGACCACTAACCCTGGGGTTGAAATCCAGGCAAAGGCCAGTCGAGGAGAACTTTATTGGCAGCTTCTTTTGCAACTTAATTATAAATATCTGAATAGTTCTATTCCTTTTTTTCTTCCCCAGAACACGACTCAATGCTTTCCGAGAAGTAACCCCAGTAGAACTTCCTAACTGTAATTTAGTTAAAGGAATAGGTAAGTATGTGACAGGACGAAGTAAGGGCATTATTTGAATGCCCACCTTCGAATAAAGTAGACAGTTATATGGCTCAACCAACAAAAAATATATGCATTTCCACTGGTGTTAAAATTGTGGTCATTGAAACTTGCTGTATTATCTTGCTATTTATTTGGTTAATAACCTGCTTAATTTTGTTCAAAAACAGAACCGGGAGAGAATGATTAAGTCAGTAGTTAATTATAAATACCAACATACTTGACTTTTGACTTCACCAACATATGGCCAAAGTATTAAGTTTTCATAGTTTGTTTTTGTTTGGTCACGTTAGCAAGAACAATAGTGGAAACAATGTTTAATTTTATGGTAATACGACCTGAGGAGATTCCAGGGGAGAGGCAGAGGAAGGAGAAAAAGCAGTGAGTAAAGGGAAAAAATTTAAAAAGCCCTCACAACCTTAGCAGTTACCACAAGGTTTACCCTCACACATCTCTCTTTTAATGTCGGAGAGGAATATTTTTCCCAGAAGTTCTCAGCAGATTTCCCTTCAGATCTCATTAGTCAGAGATAGACAACAGGCTGGTGCCCTAGCTGCAAAGGAAGCTGGGAAAGTAATTATCGGGCTTCCATTGTGGAAGGCAGGCCCTGTCAGCAAAGATAAAAGGCTAAGGGAATAGCAGCTGGTAAGCAACCAACAGGGAGTGTCACAGGACTCAAGTCCCCATCTGGTTTCAGCCAACCACTTTTGTTATTTGAGGACAACTTGTTTGAGATCCATGCTTTCGTTATGTTTTGTTTTGCTTTGTTTAGAATTACTTATTGCGGTTGACTAAGGTTGGAAAGGCTAGACCACGTGACTTATTCAGTCAGCAACAATAAGGTTGGCCAGATACCTCACAGTGCAATCTTACTTTAGAAAATAAATATGTTATTGATATTAGATATCACTGGATATTTGAAAAACAAACAACTCCACTGAGAGTACCAGTCAAAAACCTCATTTGTCTCTAGGTTGATGGAGACTTTTAAAATTTACATGGACTTAAGATATAATTAACTTGGTGATATTTTACTGATGTTTATAATTAATAGTAGATCCATATTTTGCATATGAAATGTGTCTCCACTTTAACGGAAGCATTTGGAATCTGCTTATATTTCCAATATGGTTCTCAAAGAATTTATTGGGTTTGGAATTAAATATTAACATATATTGGTAGTTTACATTGTTGTTAGCAAAACAGCAAGCTATTTTCAAATTATCATACTTTTAGAAATTTTGTGAATTTCTGAACTTTAAGAGATTCCAGACTCTCTGGAAAAAGTTCTAGTCCATTAATTTAAAAAAATATATATTAAGTGTAAATGTTAATTACACTTAATTATGTCAATGTCTTCTGATTTTTATATAATCCTATCAGTCAACTTGAATAAGTAAATGAAAGAGTTAATTATTCTGAATCTATCAAATAAGAGGAAGGGTGATAAAGGATCACTAGTACCCTGCAATCACCTACAACAATCTGTACTGACTATTCTCTTTCCTGGCAGAAACTGGCTCTGAAGACTTGGAGATACTTCCTAATGGACTAGCTTTCATTAGCTCTGTAAGTTGTTTCCTTTTTTTTATGGTACTCTACACCATTTTCTGGAACCAGCAGCTTAAGTCTTTTGTTTAAGCCTGCTGTTTACCAATGCCCACCTTCAAATAAAACAGGCAGTTGTATGGTTCAACAAACAAACAATACATGCATTTACACCAGTGTTAAAATTATGGTCGTATGCCTTCTATGCATATTTGTATTCCTGTGTGTACACTGAACTCTAATACTACTTTATCTTCCATTGTAGCAATTTGTGAGTCCAATGAGTTCAAGAATGGCTTTCCATCAATGGTCTATCCCTTGAAGCACTTAGGTGGTATAGTCAAATATTTACTAAACTGGGCTTATGTTTATATATATATATCCCCTCACATGTCATTTAGATTTTACATTTTTTTCAGACTTTTTTTTCACACTTTTCAAAATAAGCTCTTTCATATAAAATTGTTGTTATACCATTTCACAATTTCCACACTTTGAAGAGTGAAGCCACCGTGTTTGTTGAACTTCTGCAGGCAAATCACTGTGGTAGTGACATAGAGCAAAACAAAAGAAGTCAACACCCTCTGCTGCCTGTTATTTATTTAGTCAGTTTTCTCTTATGAAGATGGAGGACTAATCATCTTCTATAGCAGTGACTTGTAACCCCCCCCACCTTTTTAAGCAACAGAATAACATATTCCAAGCAAAATCTTATAAGGGACCCCAACATCTAAAACAAAAAACAGCTGTATTGTTCTAATTGAAGGCTAAGAAAGAAGTTGTTGCTGGGTTCACTAGACTTCCCCTAAAATTCTGTCATTAAGATGGTTGCAAGGAACTTGCCGGGAGACATAATAAAAACCATAACCATGGGACGCCTGGGTGGCTCAGCAGTTAAGCACCTGCCTTCCAGCTCAGGGCGTGATCCTGGAGTCCTGGGATCAAGTCCCGCATCAGGCTCCCTGCATGGAGCCTGCTTCTCCCTCTGCCTGTGTCTCTGCCTTCTCTCTCTCTCTCTCTGTGTCTCTCATGAATAAATAAACAAAATCTTAAAAAAAAAAAAAAAGAAATAAAAACTGTAACCAAGGTGCCTCGTTAGCCCAGTAGACAGTGTGTCAATCTCATAAAAAGCATAACCAATGTTCTCTCCATATTTCCTGCTTATATGATTGAAGCCCATTAGCAATCACCCATTTGGTCTACTTTTCCATTTTTTATCTTTCTCATGACTTAGAAACTGTGGTATGGGGCACATATGGCTCTGCTGCTGGTGATAGAATGGTCCATGCCTGTGTGTTTTGTAGGTGGCCTGGTGGAGTATGTGGCTTCTGGAACCCCCATGGGCCTATTGCACCAGCCAACCAAGAGGCTTCCCATGTGGCCCTATGACCTGAAGCAGACAGTATGAACCCATGTGCCATCTACCACCTTAATCAGCTTTTTTTTTTTTTTTAAAGATTCTATTTATTCATGAGAGACATAGAAAGAGAGAGAGGCAGAGACACAGGCAGAGGGAGAAGCAGGCTCCATGCAGGCAACCCGACGTGGGACTTGATCCTGGGTCTCCAGGATCACACCCCGGGCTGCAGGCGGCGCTAAACCACTGCGCCTCTGGAGCTGCCCCCTTAATCAGCTTTTGAAGTATGTGTAATATGCCTGTTTTTCCCCTTCATGTTTTATAAGGGATTAAGATATCCTGGAATAAAGAGCTTTGAACCTGATAAACCTGGCAAAATTCTTCTAGTGGACCTGAATGAAGAAGATCAAACAGTGTTAGAACTGAAGATCATTGGAAGTAAATTCGATGAGTCATCATTTAACCCTCATGGGATTAGCACATTCACAGATGAAGGTAATGATATTTAATGTTTATTAAAAACAAAACCAGGGGATCCCTGGATGGCTCCGCGGTTTGGTGCCTGCCTTCCGCCCAGGGCATGATCCTGGGGACCCAGGATCGAGTCCCACATCCGGCTGACTGCATGGAGCCTGCTTCTCCCTCTGCCTGTGTCTCTGCCTCTCTCTCTCTGTCTCTCATGAATAAATAAATAAAATCTTAAAAAAAAAAAACAAAACAAAATCAAAGGCACCTGAGTAGCTCAGTGATTGAGCACCTCCCTTCGGTTCAGGTAGTAATTCCTGGGTCCTGGGATCAAGTCTCACATCGGGCTCCCTGTAGGGAGCCTGCTTCTCCCTCTGCCTATGTCTCTGCCTCTTTCTGTGTGTCTCTCATGAATGAATGAATGTATGAATAAATAAATAAATAAATAAATAAATAAATAAATAAATCTTAAAAAAATAAAAACAAAACCAAATTTTAAAAAATGTTTAAAAGTGAATTATTTTCTCTCATTCAACTAAAGTTTAATCATGATTAATGTTACTGTTCTGTTAAACGTATCCCTTGTGTTAATGAAACATAACCACTCTGATGCTTGAGTATGCTAAAATACTTAAGATTTGTAAAGCACTTATTTTTAAAAATACCAACATTCACATTATCCCTATAATTACTACAGCAATAATCTTTAGCCCTGATCATTATGGGTTTTCCATTTTGAACAATTTTATGGATCTGGGAATTTATAGGGATAGATTTTTCTGACTGAAGGCATCTGCCAATGCCTATATCCACTGACAGAAAGTTGCTGTGGCCAGTTTTCTCTCAGCCCTGTCAGCTTCAGTGTCTTTCTGTCCACTAGTTCCTCTGTTTTGTCTGCACACTACTTTACATCTCAAAACTATCAACATATTACCCGCATCCATTATGCCTTCCTCCCATTTCTTCCTTTGTACTTGTAGCCATTTCCTTGGTCTCTACATGAATTCTCAACCCCAGCTGCACACAGAAACCCCTGTGGGATTTGACATCAATTGCATTTTTTTTTCTTTTTACCTTGTGACCCCTTGTTTCTCCAGCCCTCCACTCCCTGCCTCTGGCAACCACCAATCTATGAATTTTGTATTTTCCTTTTAGGATTTAATTCTACATATAAAAAGAGATCGCATGCTTTAGTTTTTCTGTGATTTATATCACTTAGCATAGTGCCCATGAGGCCCATCCATTTTGTCACAAATGGCAGGATTTTGTTCTTTTTTTATGGCTGAACATATTCCTCTGTGTGTTTCTGTATGTGTGTATTTATTCATCCATTCATAGACACTTCGGTTGTTTCCATGTCTTGATGACTGTAAATAAGACTGCAGTGAACATGGGGGAGCATATATCTTTTCAAGCTGGTGTTTTAGTTTTCTTTGGATCAGTACCCAAAATGGAATTATTGGATTGTATGGTAGTTCTATTTTTAATTTTTCAAGGAAACTCTGTAGTGTTTTTCATGCTCCAGTTTGCATTCCCAACAACAGAGCATGAGGGTTCCTTGTTCTCCACATCCTTGCCAACACTTGTTATTTCTTGTGTTTTTAATAATAGCGATTCTAACAGTGTGAGCTGGTATCTTGTTGTGGTTTTGATTTGCATTGCCCTGATGATTAATGAATGTGAGCATCTTTTCTTGTACCTATTGGCTATCTGTATGTCTTCTTTGGGAAAACATCTTTTCAGATCTTCTACTTATTTTATTTTGCTTTTTAAGATTTATTTATTTATTTATTTATTTATTTATTTATTTGAGAGAGAGAGAGAGAGAGAGGGAGAGGGAGAGAGAGAGAGAGAGAGAGAGAGAGAGAGAGAGACATCATGAGTCAGGGGAGAGGCAAAGGAAGAGAGAGAAAAATCCTTAAGCAGACTCCTCCCTGAGCACAGAGCCCAACACGGGGCTCAATCCCAGGACCCTGGGGTCATGACCTGAGCCAAAATCAAGAGAAGGACACTTAATCAATGAGCCACCCAGGTGCCCTTCTTCTGCCTATTCTAAAATCAGATTTTTTTGGATTGTTTTTCTATATGAGTTCTTTTTATATTTTGGATATTAGCTCCTTAATCAGATCTATAATTTGCAAATATTTGTTTCCATTCAGTAGGTTGCCTTTTCATTTTGTTGATGGTTTCCTTTGCTGTGCAGAAGCTTTTTAGTTTGATGTAGTTAACTTTGATTTTACTTTTGTTGCTTTTGCTTTTGGTGTCAGATTTAAAGGGATCATCAGCAAGATCTATGTCAAATAACTTACTGCCTATGTTTTCTTCTAGTAGTTTTATGGTTTCAGGTCCTCTATTCAAGTCTTTAATCTACTTTGAGTTAACCTCTGTGTATGATATAAAATAGTGTTTGAGTTTCATTCTTTTATATGTGGCTGTCCAGTTTTCCCAACATGATTTATTGAAGAAACTGGACTTTCCCTATGCTATATTCTATATTCTTGGCTTCTTTGTCATAGGTTAATTTAATTATACACACATATAATTAATTATATATGTGTCATTTTATGAGTTTATTTCTGGGCTTTCTATTCTGTTCCACTGATCTATGTGTCTGTTTTTATGCCAGTATCACACTGTTTGAATTTCTATAGCTTTGTAATATAGTTAGAAAGCAAGGAGTTCAAGATTGACTTGGTTTGGGTTTTTGTGTGTGTGTATGGTTTCATACAAATTTCCAGGTTATGTGTTTTATTTCTGTGAGAAATGCCATTGGAATTTGGATAGGGATTGCAATTAATCTATAGATTGCTGTATAGACATTTTAACAACATTCTTCCATTTCATAAGCATTCAATAGCTTTCCAAATGTTTGTATTTTCTTCAATTTCTTTCACTAATGTCATATAGTTTTCAATATATAGGTCTTTCACTTCCTTGTTTAAATTTATTCCTAAGTATTTTATTCTTTTTGATGCATTTGTAAATGGGATTATTTTATTTCTCTTTCTGATAGTTCACTATTAGTGTATAGAAATGTAACAGATTTCGTGTATTGATTTTGTATCCTGCAACTTCACCAAGTTTGTTTAGTGGTTTTTAACAGTGGGGAGTTTTAAAAAACCTAATGACCAGATCCCAGGCCCAAATATTCTGATTCAATCAGTCTGAGGAAGCTCTGGGTGGCAGGACTTGTTAGAAGTTCTCCAGCTGATAGAATGTAAAGTTGGGGTTGAGAACTGCATCTATAGTCATGGCCTCCATCTTCTCAGCAGTCGCTCCTTCCGTCTTTCTTCCAGACTTACCCCATTGTGGGTGACTAAAACTGCTGCCTTGAAAGTCATCAGCAATGCCCTTATTAACAAACCTTCTCTCTCGCAGCTCACCTGCCCTCCCACCCCCTCCCTCCCTTCTTTCCTTTCTTCCCTCCTTCTTTCTTCCCTCCTTCTTTCTTCCACCTCATTTATGCTGTTGACCATTTTCTCCTTCAAGTAAATTGCTCCTCCCTGATATTCCAATATACTAATCTATCATAGTTCAGATCCAACTGCAGGCTTCTCTTCCTGTTCACTGTTTTGTCACTCGTTTCAAATTTTCTGGACATTCCCCAAAAGCCTGATCTTTTGCCTCCTCCTTATTTGCTCTATTTCAGAAAGTTCAACCAAGTCATACCCGTTAGCTGTGCCTACTTTCTGGGAGTATTTTATTAATGGGGTATTCTTTTTTTTTAATCAGCTCTTCAGTTCCATTCCTTCAAGCTTACTAGATTATTCTATTTGAGTTCCTCTCCTCTAGCTGCTTTAAACTCAACATGTTGAAAACTGATTTTCCATCCTTTTATCTTTCCTTCCTTACCTTTCTACCCTATGACATCTCTTCTTTTATATAAACTTATATAGTTCCCTTTCAGTGATCTCCACACCCATTTATCAACATTATATTTTATTTTAAAACAGTTGGGTATGTGTACATTTTAAAAATAAAAGGGAGTACCCTTCTGTAAAGTGCTTTCACATTTAACATTACATTATGGACTCCTTCCTACGACAGTATATTTAGAGCTCCTTTGCAATGGCTGTTTAGGATTCAGATGCATGGGAGTGCAGTAATGTAGTTCTTCTGTTGATGGATATTCAGTCTGTTTCTGCCTTTATGCTCATTGCAAACAATGCCAAAATAAACATTCTTGTATATATATCTACTGTGAATGTTTCCTTAGGATAAAGACCTAGAGGTAGAATCTGCTGTACAAAACATGGATCTGGGTTTCAGTGCTCACTTATGTTTAATTTTTCATTCCTCAGCCATCATCAAGGGCTTTTGATACTTCTGGTCAAATGTTCCTATATACTTTCCTGCCACTTGTCAGCACGATCCCTCTGGCCCAGTCCCTTCTCCCCACACACCTGGTTTACTGCTGCTCCAAGGCCCAGTGAGTAAGCCCTGGATCCTCACCCTAAGCCCTAACAAGACTGGCCTTCCTTTCTACCTTTATGGCTGCAGGCTTCCTACTCTTTCTTTCATTCACTCTACTCCATCCACAACCTCACTATTAAGAGATGTACCAAGAAAGCTCCTGCCTCAGGCCCTTGGTATACTCTCTTCCCTCACCTGGGAATGCTCTTTTTCCAGATACTCACGTGGCTTGGTCTCCTCTATCATTTAGGTTTCTGCTTTAACATCACTTCATCAGACCTTCCCCGTCATGAAGAAAACAGCTTATTACTCCTCATTCCTTTATCTCATGTGATTTTCCCTTTGTAGCACTTAATACCAGTCAAAATAAACACTTGTTTGTTCAGTGGCTTAACTACCAGAAGCCTCCTGGTTGCTTCTCTGTTTAAATATCTTCAGTTCAACCTACTACACTTTGCATTGTTTTTCTTTAAACACCAATTTGGCCATATCAAAGTTTCCAAAGATTTCTGCTTCTTAAAGCAAAGACTGTAATAATCTAACTTCACTTGCCAACTCTAATCACACCTTCTTAACCACTTAGATTGGTCTCTTTTATGCCTTAAAGCTGTACTGACTCATGGAAGCTGCTTCCCTCTGATAGCATCTCTCAGGTGTTCTTTTTATGGAATTTATCATTTTACACTGTGTGAATTATACCTGACCACACCTTCTCATGTCCGTGTTCTCCACATCTTTTATCTCTTTTATCTCAACTCTGCATCTTGCTGAGACCATTTGCAATAGAAAGCTTAACAAGCTCTTTTGAGTTTTAGTGTCAAGCGTTGCTCATTCTTTAGTTGAGGATTTTCCCCCCTGTGGAGTTTGGAGGTGTTTAGGGAGTGTCACTGGTTCTTCCTTGAGCCATTTCTTTTTCTTTGGAGCAATCACAAGTGCTTCTTTCTACAAGAAGATGAAAATATTCCATCTGCCTGACACCCTAAGTACTAGTTGGAGGTGGGTTGAAATTGCTTTTTGGAGACAGGGCTGACAGCTGAGAGCTCAGTTAATGTTTCGATTTTTGTTTTTAATCTCTTCGCAGATAATACTGTGTACCTGCTGGTGGTGAACCATCCAGATTTTAAGTCCACAGTTGAGGTGTTTAAGTTTCAAGAAGAAGAAAAATCACTTTTGCATTTGAAAACCATCAGACACAAACTTCTGCCTAAGTACTGAGCTATATATTTCTATTTTCCTTTAACACCTGTGGATGGTTAATCCACCTTTAGTTTCTCCATTTAGCCAGAGTGGGAATGGGGATAATACCTGGTCAGCTCTCCTTTCAAATCATCACAAACTCCTCCAGGTGTTCTGCAGATACTTTCGAGGACTCAAATGCCTGAGAGAAAACCCATTCTCTTCCTCTGTCATTTCCCAGGTTGCCTGGGTGCTGACTTATGGCTCCCGACCTCAGAATGTCCATTCGAGCTGTCATTAGGACATAACTCTGTTCTTCTCCCAAACCAGACTTTGTATTTCAAACCCAAACCAGTTTCCCAGACAAATTCTACATCATGAGCTTGCTTCTTTATTCATTTATTTATTTACTTTTGTATTGAAAAAATAGAATCTTAGATGTTTCTGAGACCTGGTGCCTCTAAGAACTCCCCGAACTGCCCTTACTCTGGCCTCACGTGATTTATGTAGTTGCAGTTAACACTCAGCTCTACTCCTAGGCTTCTTGACAACATAACACAAAGAAAAGGAAAACACCCAGGGATCCCTGATCCCCATCAACCCAACACAAAATCAATTTCCTCACTTACCTTAGGATATGGTTTGTGAGGCTAGTGATGTATTTGGAACAAGATTCTGACACGGTCTTCCCAAACAATCTTTATCTCCTAATCATTAAGATTTTCTAGAATCCCAATCTTTATTTGAATTAACAGCATTGGACTACCTCGGTATTTGTAAATCTAGATTTCTTTTAATTCGTGTGTTATTTACATGCAAGGACCTAGCAGAGTGCCTGGCACATAGTATGCACTCACTGTTCACTGGACCACCTCCTCTCTTTTCTTACCTGGTGGTTTTGAAGATGGAACAACTGAAATTGGAGAAAAACTGAGTTACTGGATGAAGGTCAATCAACTAATTAGTAGCTAAATAGGAACTGTATGGCCCAAGTCTTCTGCATCCCTAGGATGAGTGAAAATTCAGAGAACAGCTTTTGGTGGAACAGTTTATTTATACATTCACTCAACAAATGTATTTTGGAAAGAGAATGAGGATACTGAATGTCTGGCACATGGGCCACATACCAAAGTCTAAATTAGGGAAAAGTATATAGAACGGAGAAGCTGAGCTAATAATAATCGTACTTGTAATAATTGTGATGGTAACAATGAGTTTTAACTGTAAGTTAGGTGCTACAATAAACAATTTAAACTGATTACTTTATTATCTTTTTATGAATATCTTCTTAATTAGGTGTTATTATTATGTCATTTTGGATTTAAAAAAACACCAACTCTGAAGCCTGGAGTATTTAACTTGTCCCAGATGATGCCATCAATAAAATGATATAGCTGGGATTTTTAACCCTGGTAGCTTGAGGCTGAAGCCGCTGCTCTAAGCCACTATGAAATAGTGAAAGCTTATTTTATTTGTTTCACAATTAGTCTTGGAAGTTTCATACTTGTCCAGATTCCCAGCGTCAGAGTATTTTTTTCTGAGAAATTTGCAAAAATATTTGTCTTTGGCAATGTAGAACCAAACTGAAAAAAACCATCATGCCACAATTAACTAGAATTCTGCTCTCCCAACAAAGGACTAGCCATGTAGATGTTCTGCTTTGTATTTAATGGTTGTTGATATTGTTGTTTATAGCATTAATATTCCTATTACTAACCTATCACAATTGAAGTATAGTATTAACGATAACACAGTGGTCATGATTGATCATCTCCTGTATGCCAGGCATAGTGCCAAGGTCTTTGTGTTCTTCTTTCATTTTATTTACCTTAACGTCACAAAAGAACAGAGGGGAAACTGAGGTATAGATGTCAGTGACATGCTGTGGCACCACAGACAATAGCAAACTACGTCAGCATTCAAATGGGGTCTATGGAATCCCTGGGTGGCTCAGTGCTTGAGCATCTGCCTTCAGCTCAGGGCGTGATCCTGGAGTCACGAGATTGAGTCCCACGTCAGGCTCTTGCATGGAGTCTGCTTCTCCCTCTGCCTGTGTCTCTGCCTCTCTTTCTCTCTGTGTCTCTCATGAATAAATAAATAAAATCTTTAAAAACAAACAAACAAACAAAAAACAAATGGGGTCTATAAGACTTCAAAGCTGTTACTCTGAAACATTCCTCTGCTCTTTTTTATGAACACATGCAAATGATTTGGAAAGTATACTCATTTTGGAAATTTACTCTTAAAAGAGAGAGAGAGAGAGAGAGAGAGAGAAGAGGTTCATGCCTGGAGCCTGTACACACTAACCCTAAATTCCTAGACCTTTTTTCTCATGTCATGATCGTGGCCACCATTGATGGAAGATTCAGCAAGTGGCAGGCTTTCTACAAAGCACACAGCAGGCATTGTCTTATTGTGATTTCCACTGAGACTCCCCGAATTAAGATTATAACCCTTAGTCTTATACTAATGAGCTGTATGACTTTGGGAAAATTGTTTAACCTCTCTTTACAGATGAGAAAACTGAGACTCTGTATGCTTTTCTAACCGGCCCAGGAGCCCAGAGCTGCATCAGAGCTGATGTGCTGGCCATGCAGCCCTCTGCAACGGAGCAGAGATAATTCTCTCGCAGATAATGGCCCTGGGGAACTTCTGTCACCTCCATCAGCACAGAATGACTCACTTATGTGTTCACTGTTGTACCTATTAAAGCAGAAAAATAGACTCATATATCTTAGATTTTCAGTAACGGAGAGAGAATCAAAATCAGAAAGAAAATATGCCAAAGCACCATCCTGTTCCTGAGCATTCTTGTCCATGGACATTTTCCTCAGTTAAGAACCATGAAACTTTAAGGCCAGAAGTGATCTTTTAAGACCGAAAGAGCAGTCCATCCTATCCTCCTTTTACAGATAAGGAAACTGAGGCCCTGACATGTGAAATGATTGATTTGCCTAAATTGCACAGCTAATAGTGGCAGAGCTTTAACTGAAATACAAGTCTCAAGATTGCCAGTGTTTATCCCTCCCACTGCCTGATAATGTTCCAGACTGTTCTATATGAGAGTGAGTGCTATATGAACATGAATAAATTCTGCCCTGATAATGATTTCTGGCTTAATTTAATGTCTACTGAATTTAGTATATCCACATACACACACACGCACACCCCACAGCACTATTTTTCAGATACAGTTAATAGGATTTTTATGTTACACTGCTATAAGAACCTTTTAGGGCTTTTTAGAGTAACTTTGTCTTTGAGGATTATACATGTGGGATTGATGTCATTTTAATTCTGTACCATAACTGCGACAGTAAAAGCTTCATCCCGCATCTTCATTTTAGGGACAGTCATTAATGAATGCTAATCAATGCAAAATCCTGTGACGTACAATACCTTCACCTGTATATATCACATATATGTGTTTGAATTTGCAGTTTAAATGATATTGTTGCTGTGGGACCTGAGCACTTTTACGCCACAAATGATCACTATTTTACTGATGTCTACTTGAAATCCTGGGAGCTCTATTTGGGTTTAGCGTGGTCTTATGTTGTTTACTATAGTCCAACTGAAGTTCAAGTGATGGCAGGCGGATTTGATTTTGCTAATGGAATCAACATTTCACCTGACGGCAAGTATGTGACCTCTTTAAAATGTCATGCATTTCCCCCAGATTCTTGCTAGATATATTTAGAACATACTCATCTTCTAAATAACATGTGCGTTCTAACATGTTATCCTGGTAAGAGGAAATTAGGAAAAATGTTAAAATATCTTAATTTTTCAGGGTATAAAATGTATCAAATCAAAATTTTCTATTTTGTGTAGGCATATTCTTTGAAAGTTTTTGGCAGGGATGTATATATCAAGAAGGGGAACTGTGATAAACATTTAGTATTACTAAATAGCTTTGCTTTGAGGGAAGATTTTTGAGTGCATAATAAGATAAACAGCATGTAGTTACATATCTCAGTAGTCCTGGTTTGTGACAAAATAAAGAGCTTGCACCAAAATGTAAATCAAGACACTGCTTTCTTCATCAAGAAAGTGTTACTATTGGAGAAAAGTCAGCCTAACTAGGCAGTGTGCTTTATGATGTAGTTGATTTACATTATTCCTTGATGATGGCCCTGAAACAATTCACAGAGCAACACTGGTCTGGGGATCACACTTGGGGTAACATTGTCTATATACAAAAGCCATGTATCCATCATATAGATCCTTACTCATCTTCTATCATCACAGATTTCAGAAAGTTAATAACATATTTAGAGGGCAGCTTTCAATTATTTATAGCATCTCCTGGTCTTCCAAGTAGCAGATAATTAGTAGTTATTTTTCTTTTTGTCCTGGGACGCACTGACCACATACATTTCTTTATGATAAGTGGGGCATTGCGTTGCCTGCAAAATACTAAATGCTCAAAGTCAGGACCAGACTCAGGGTGAGAGGGGAGGAAGACTTCTCTTATATCCAGGCCAAGCATCTTGTCTTCTCATACTTTCCCTCACTTACAACAGAGGCTTGGTTGTCAAAGGGCTTTCCCGCAGCCTGCCCCAGAGAACTCACTATCCCCTGAGATGCACAATCTGGCAAACTAAGAGAAGTAGTGTAATATATTTTGCTTCCAGATTTAAGAGCTGGTACTAGGGCTAAGTTTCCTCCCTTCTAATCAAGGACAACTAGGTTCCTATCTTTAGAAATAACTTTTCAAAAATTAAAACTCCTTGTGTACTGTAAACTCAAGATTTTTTTTTTTGTTGTTGTTGTTGGAATTGGGCGTGCTTTGAGAAGGGCTCCATTTTCCAGTCTCTAAGCAAAGTTCTTTCCTAGGAAGAGTTCTTACAACTTCACCATAACCTTCTGAGTCGTATTACTTCAAGTGCTTTGATGTAGCTCTTTTTTCTTTGAAGGTATGTCTATATATCTGAATTGCTGGCTCATAAGATTCATGTGTATGAAAAGCACGCTAATTGGACTTTAACTCCATTGAAGGTAAGATGTATTAACACTATACGTTTGCAGAGTGATAATTAGATTCTAATTGATTTGTGAAATTAAAAGTGAGCAAGAAAGGATTGTCTAATTGGAGTGGGTGAGAACCAATTTTTCATTTCTTTATTAAGAGTCAACAGCATCGTGTGTGTTTGTTGTTCACTTTTATGCAGCTGCAGAGTGGGAAGCAGCAAACCAAGTACCTCACCTCTGAAACTTCTTTCTGCCCTAGTGAATTCTCAGTTTGGCGTTGTATTGTTCAGCTTCCCTTCCTTTCCTCCTTCCCTGCTGGCTTCCCTCCCTCCCTCCCTCCCTTCCTTCCCTTTCTCTCTCTCTTTCATGTTTCCCTCCATGTGGATGAAAGAGCCAAGAAATCACCTCCACTGGTGTTTCATATGACAGCGCTCTCCACAATATTTAGAAATAATATAAATATAATATAAAGCCCAATAAAGTATCAAGGACTCCCAGTGGCCACCCCGCACCTGTGCAGCGCATCACTTTGCCACCTTTGTCTCCAGCGCACACTCTCCCTCCTGAGCCTACCTGTCCCTCAGCTCACCAGGTGGGGCCCCGCCTCAGGTGGGCCACTCTTCCCTCTGCTCCAATGACCTTCCTCCAGACCTCTGTGGCTCTCTCCTTCATATCCTTCCATTTCCACTCAAATGTCACCTCAGCGAGGCCTTCCCTGGCTTTACCTAATCTAAGCTTGCAACTCTGCCCCCCACCCCCAGCTACACACACACACACACACACACACACACACACACACACACACACAAAGGGAGAGTTTGCATCCTGGGGGAGGGGAGGCCTTCTGGTCCAATCCGAACCACCCTATTGCCCTGCCTCCCTACACTGAGGGCAGAGAGAGACCGAGAAAGACGCAGGCCGCTCCAGATTGGTAGCTGGCAGGTTTAATAGACAAAGGAACTTATTTACTTGGCTTGTCTTGGGCAGCTGCAGGACGAGTAGCTCTCTGCATGCACCTGCCCACCAGAATCATAGCAGTTTGTCTAGAGGCCTTAATGGGGGTGCTGTCACATATACTGACCAGTTGGGCTCAACAGCACCTTACTCTGTCAAGGCTGTGTCCTCTGAATGGCTCCCACTGTGTGAACAGTGGGCAGAACCTACTCTTCAAAGGACAGGGAAGGGGATGAGGAGCCTTCCCTTGTCCAGGTCCAGCTTGAGGTTCAGCCAGTGGTCACGTCCTCTCAGTGACCTCCTCCAGTACTCCATCCCATGTGACAGCTCTTACAATCTCATATAACCCCCTCTTCCGCCGTGTGCCCTGAGCAGTCAGCAAGGGGGTTCACTAGCATGGAGGCAGCTGGTTTAGTGGCTATCTGGCTACACTGGAGGCAGATACCATAGCAACGATACAGGCACAGGCAAGAGGAAACACAGATTATGGCAATGATTCCCAAACTCGATGACAATTTTTTTTCATCCAAGAGCCCCATGATCTGAACCACTGATTTATGAAGTCCCTTAAGCTGAGAGTCAGATCACTCCAGGCATTCACTTGTGTCCTCAAGTGATTTAATAAAGGGGACATGTTAGCAGACTCATCAGGTATGAACACACAATATTCTGTTTGCATAATGGCAAAGAGGCGGTAATAGTGTTCAAGGCCATCCTATTTTGGAGGACAGCTTTTATTATTAGAGACATTTCAGTGTCCAGTAAGGACAGGCTTCATTGGCTACCATTTAAGGCTTGCTGGATGAATTTGGTCAGGGCTTTGCCAATCCCAGTGGATGGCCTCAGATTTTTTAATCTCCCTTTGGCAGTTGCCTTGGCAGTTGCCATGGGTATTGTTTAAAACACATAGGGCATGCTGTTACTATATTGGCCAAGTCACTGTATTTTGAGGACAATAGAGCATCCCTGGAAATATGTCCTCCCACCAGGCATATTGGGGTGGCTACTCTTTTTATGCACCCAATCTCTGTATCTACTAAAGAGTTTGTTGCTAGAACTTATCCCCAAACTATGACATCAGCTTCCTGATTGCCAGAGAAGGTCAATCCTTTATGAGCTGGAATGGGGAAGACAGTGAGGACTGTCTCAGGTTCTTGCAGGCAGACTCAAATGTTTTTCCATATATCCTGACCCCAGTGGGGCTCATTCACTATCATCCTCCTCTTGGCTTGCCACTGCCCAAACCATAGAATTAATCCCTTTAGAACCGCCCAACTGTCAATGCAAAGGATTATGTCAGGGCTCAGGAGTGATCACCAGACAAACAGCCCTGAGTTCAGCCCATTGGCCGCTGCCTTGTCTTCCTGCTTCCATCCAGATGGTGTCAGTGTTGGGCTGAATAGCAACTGCAGTTTCTGTTGATTGATTCCCTTGATTAGATCCATCCCCTACTCCGTCTCTAGAGGCTGCAAGGACTGCCACGGAAGGGGGGCAGGGACGGGGAGGAATCTGGATGATTTACATACTCTACAGAGCCTAGTAGTGCCTGCATTTCTAGAAACAGTGGCCAGGGTGCTCCCATGCAGCAGATAGGAATGCCACTTTGTGAACATGGGGGTTTGAGCCATGGCAGAGATGCATGGATAGAACATGTTCTTGGCCCACCCCTTGATAGGAAAGGAAGTTCCTACTTTGATATACTCTTCCTTCCTGAGAGGCTCCACTTGGAGCAGTACTGCATATACTGCTAGAGCTGTTGCTCTATGGAGCATACAGAGTTTCTGTCCCCTTCCAGAGCTGGAACCAAAATCTTGGGGTCCTCTGCCCTTCTGTTATGCCCACCACAGTGCCCAACCCATACCTTCTAAAGTCACAGACACATCTAACTCAAATAGCAGCCCATTGCTTGGGATATGCCCAGAGCTTTAATCTCCTTCACTGGTATTTCTGCTTTCTCGAGGGTGACTTGATGCCCTGATCCCCAGAACTACAAAAGTCCTTTCTTAACCAGTCCATATTAGAGACAGAGACATGGTGTCAGATGGGGAATAAAAGTCCTCCAAAACCCCCAAATCCCTACAAAGGTTTGCACTGCTTTCAAGTTCTTAGAGGTTGCTAAACTTGCACCTTATCAATCACAGCTTCTGGAACATATGTCTTACCCAACCAAAGGACTTCCAAAAGCCTTATGGCAGTTCCTGGGCCTTGAATTTCCTGTGGGTTCATGACCGTCTTCTCCCTTGCAGCTATTCCAGGAAAGCCTGCAGAATGTCCTGCAGCATGTTTTTAGTTTCTCCTATCTCTTAATGCCCCCAAGCAATTTCTATTGTTTGACAGTTACTATTATACTCAGGGGCAACAGGCCAACTGGATCCCAGGGGGTGTTTCCCCTCAGCACTGGTTTGATTGCTCTAACCCAGGGTCAGAACTCCCAGATAGAGGCTTGCAGTTTCATCTTGTTAAATGTCAATGCCCGATATATTCTCTGGTATTGGAGAGAGACAAACCTCAAGTTCTTGTGGTGGTGGTGGTGGTGAGGGGGGACACTAAATTCATCAAAGAACTTTCTTAAATATAACCATTTGCTCTCTGCAACCATTGATAGTGTTGAAAACTTCTGAGGGTTACCCGACAGGGCTGTCACTTCTGGAGGACCAGTGAGTAGTGAGTCCAACTTGAAGCCTCTGATTTTCTTCAACTGCCCTCAAGTGGAGGCAGTCCTGGCCTGTATCTATACATGAGTGTGGGAAGCACCCACCCCAAATAGGACTGTATTCCTGAGGCTTCTGTGGGAGCAGGCAGGGCGTCAGGGATGGTAAGGGGCAAATGGAGCAGGTCTGAATCTGTTCAGATTTTATGGCTTTCCATAGGCAGTGAACACAGTGTTGGGTTGTCCGTTTTTCTGCTCAGGCGGTTAAATGAGGTTAAACCACATTTGCTTTTGGATTATTTCTACTGGACCTTTACAGCTTATTGGGATAACCTTTAGATTCTATGGGTGATCTCTCTGTCTCAGGTCCTTCCCACGGCCCGTACCATTCCCCGGGATTTGTCAGTTTTCCCTAGATCAACAATGGATCGCCAAACATCATAAACATCTTGTCCCACAACTGGGCTCAACATGGACATGAGTGTCCATAACAGGTGTTGGGGGCAGATTGGAGTATCCTACTTTTCACTCTTGCAGTGAATGTGGCTGATCAGGGCCTTCAAAGACAGAGGTGGAGATTGCCTGTCTCATTCCCAACACCCTAAGCATTGTTGTGTATCTCCTCTATAGATTCTCGGGTTCTATATGCCCAGGGAGGTGCCCCTCATTGGGCCAAACCTCACAGCAGGCTAGGACAATCCAATCTATAAGGGGGTGAGTACTTTGAACCTTTGAGTGCCATGCAGGTGCTGCTGGAGAGCACGTGTGTGGTGATGTTGCTCATTTTCTCTGCTTCCTGCCTAGAGAAATGCCATCTCCCCCATATCCCATAGGAGCACTAACCATGCTGGATACTTTCCCTGGCCTTTTGCTGGAACTTGGCAGCTGTATCAATAAGCTCAGTGGAAGTACATTCTTTCTTCGAGAATGTTTCCCCAATTGGAGGCTGCCCCGTGGGCTGGGGTTGTTGTGGTGCTTTTGCTTTCCTTTGTATTAGGGGTTGGACAGAGTGGGGCCTTTCGTTCACTTCATAGCATCTTCTTCTTCACTCTCCCCACTTTTCTAGACCTTCCACCACTTTGTATCCCAATCAGATTTTGTCACAACACTTGGACCTTAATTCTTAGCAGCTCACGCCCTCCTAGCTTTTCGAAATGGCATGCAAGGTCTCCAACTTATCGTCTTGCTCTCCCACCTTGTCTGCCAGCCCAGAGCTACAGAGTAGTAGACTCCCACATGTCCTTCCCTAACCTCAACTCATCTTCTCACTTTCTTTTTTTAAAAATTTATTTATTAAAAACCTTATTATTGATGTATAGTTGACATTAATTTCAGGTGTACAACATAGTGATTGGAAAATTCTGTACATTGCTGTACTCTCATCACAAGTGTAGTCACCATCTGTCACAATACAATAGTATTATAATACTATCGACTATATTTTTCATTTCTGTGACTTATTTATTTTATATCTGAGGTTGGTACCTCTTAATCTCCTGTACCTTTTTTGCTATCCTTCCCCCGCACCTTCCTCACTGGCAACCACCAGTTTGTTCTCTGTACTTACGAGTCTGTTTCTGTTGTTTCTTTTTTCATTTGTTTTGGTTTTTAGTTTCCACATATAAGTGAAATTATATGGCGTTTGTCTTTCTCTGTCGGACTTAGTTCACTTAGCATGATATCCTCTAAGTCAATCCATGTTTTTGCAAATTACAAGATCTCATTCTTTGTTATGGCTGAGTAGTGCATTAGATCAGCTGGCATTTTCAGGGATCACTGGACTCATGTGGCAGTTCACAAGCATCTGACATGTGGGCCACCCTTCCCCACATAGAAGTCAATGGCCAACTCAAGATTTCCCCCAAGGAGGCCTCTTTCCTAAAGTCCATTTCTTTGGTCTCCTGGCTGGCTCACCAAGTGTTAGTTTGTAATCTTGGGAGCTTCCTGGGTGCAATCTGGAACTGCTCCCTTGCTCATGGGAGGGCTCCCTCCTCATACATAGAGGGCAAGGAGAGATAAAAGAAGGCAGACCATTCCAGATTGCTAGGTGGCAGGTTTAATAAGCAAAGGAAATTACATATGAGGCTTATCTTGAGCAGCCATAAGACAAGTACATCTCCACACCCACCCACCAGAATCTTAAAAGTTTACATAGAGGTCTTAACTGGATTCAGCCACATATACTGTCCAGATGGTCTCAATAATACATTACTCTCTCAAGGCTATGTCCTTGGAACAGCTCCCAACTGTGGAAACAGTGGGCAGAATGTACATCCCAAGGACAGGGGAGGGGTTAAGGAGCCTTCAATTGCCTGAGTCCAGCTTGAGGATCAACTGGTGGTCATGTCCTCTTGATGACCTCCTCCAACACGCATATACACATGCACACAAACGTACACACATGCACTTCCTTTCTCCTCACGGCTTTATTTTCCCTTCAACATTCATTACTAATATTATATATTTTACTTATGCTTTATAAGTTAAATACCATATATTTTATTTATCTTCTATTGTCCACCTCTTTCACTAGGGTGTAAGTTCCAGAAACATGGGGTGTTTTCTATTTGTCCCTGGAAGAGTTCCTAACACATAGTAGGCACTCAAGAAAGACTTATTAAATTAAATTAATATGATGGGGCTGGGTACGCTTCAGTGGCTTATCTTCTACCTCCAATTATGATCTGATCTGAAGGGTTGGGTCAAAGGAGGTAAAAGTATAAAAGGAGAAAGAGAACGAAACAGTAAGGTGGGGATTCTGAAAGTAGTTTCCTGTCCCTTACAAATAAGACCTTGCTCTCTTGCCATAACCACTGACAGCATGAAGCACTATCACCAGGAAGCATGGAACTGTTCCTGCCAGGACTTCCAATGTACTGTCACGAGGGGCTTCATTCTGAGAAAATTATCTCAAAACAGTATCAAATGTAGTATCATGTTCTACATTAAAAATCGTTGGCATGGCAAATTTGGAATTAGCTGAAGTAAAATGGAATTTCACACACTCATACTGGCTGAGAGAATAAAAACAAATGGTGGTTATAACAATAGGTACTTCTATAGATTGAAAGTTAAAGAATCTTATAAGAATGGAGCCCAACCCAATATATATATTCAATGCACAATGATAAAGACACTGATCTTGCCAAGGACTCATTTTGGGTTTGGCTCCCACTTTTGGCAACAGGTAATGCCCATCTCTTGACATAACAATTGAGCTGAGTCTACTCCTGTGACTGTAATGTTATTTTTTTCTTTGGAAGGATCATATTAATCAAGACCTGTTAATTGATGAATACTTGGAGTGTCAAGGAATTTGATAAATAAGCTAAGACTGATCTTAGAATCTGTGATGAGACATGGGTGGGCTTATGTCCTGTCAAAATGTGGTGTGTAGACATACAAGGGAATATTACTCAGCCTTAAAAAAGAATGCAGTACTAATACATGCTCCCACATGGATGAACATCGAAGACCTGATGTGAAGTGAAGTAAGCCAGACACAAAAGGACAAATATGTGTGATTCAACTTATAAGAGGTTCCTATAATAAGCAGACTCATAGACAGAAAGTGAAATGGGAGACCGGGGCGTAGTGGAGAGAGGAATGGGGAACCACTGAGTACAGACTTTCTGTTTGGGAGGATGAAAGTTTCTGGAAATGGATAAGGGGTAGTGGTCGCACAACCCTGTAAGTGTACTCAGGTCACTGAATTGTACACTTTAAAATGACATATTTCATGTTATGCATATTTTACTGCAATAAAATAATCCCCTCCTCCACAAAAAGAAAAAAAAAAAGATTCCAGGACACAGCCAAAGAATTAGTCCCACTTCAGTGCATTCCAATTTTCTAAAAATTGAGATATTTGTTAACAGAGGACACAGTTTTTCCCGATGAGAATAATTTATTATGTTTCCTTTATCAAGGCATGTAACATTTTCCACTTGGCTTTGTGGAAGCTTGAAATGCATGTTGCGTGCATTGTAGTGAGTTAACATCCCTAGGAATCAGAGATTTGCAAGGCAAGAGTTCATTGCTGGCCCTAAAAGGGCCCCCTGCTGGCCTGTCAGCCCCTCTGGAACTGGCATTTTCCAGTTGGCAGGAGCAAGGCCTGCCACTTACCTATCCACTCTCCCGGAGCTGAGCTGCTTGCAGAGTAATTGTGTGTCAAATGATCAGGGACCCCGAGATTTGGTGCCCTTCTGTTCTCTCACCTCCAGCCCACCTCCTCTGTAGGCTTTCAGCCGCCATGAAATTCACTAATCGGCCATTATCCCTTCCAAAGATAATAGCAGAGCCCTGAGACAAATATTTTCCTCATCTAAAGAAATTACAGTATCGGCGTAGAATGTCTGACACTGTGATAGATGGTGGTTTGGGGGGACAGAGAAGGCCTGGAGCTGATTTTGGCCGAGGATGTCTGCTTGGCCGCCTCCTTTGGCCGACCTTGCCTATCTCCAGGGTGAGAATGAATGACGGATCTGCATGGAGGCTCTGCCGTGAGGCGTGAGCCCTGCAGCCCCTTCATGGATGGATGTGTGGGGACGGGTCTCATTCTGAGGAGGAAGCACATGGCAGGGCAGCACTGGTTTGCTGCAACAGTCTGCCCACACTCTGGCCTTTGCAGTGAGTCACCACCAGCTATTACACGGTCTCTGGGCGCTGAGATATGCTGGCCTCTGTTTGAGGTACATGGGAGATATTACTTCTCCAATGGAGAGTTAGAGGTAAACAAATAGATGTGATTTCTTCCCAGTAGAAGGCAGCCAAGATGATGAATGGTGGAATTAAGAATCATTCGTATTATTTATGATCCTGGTACAAAGCCTCGACAGCAATCTGTGCAGTCATCACATGCTTGCAACTTATATTTAGAAAATAAACAGCAGAAGAACAGGGAGTTGAATAACATCAGAAAACTAAAGGAGAAACTTTTCCCCAAATCCAAGGCAAAATGAGACCCTGGGTGATCATTTCTCCTCCGGCTGCATAGCCTATGATTAGCCACTAAAGAAGAACCTATGAGATGTGCTCATCAAAAATGAATCTACATTTCCTGGTTGTTTACTGAATGCTTATAAAAATATCATTTGCACATGCCATTTTATTAGAAGGAACTGTTTTATGCTGTACTTAAACCTTTTTCTTCCCTCAGTTTTAGGTTCACGCACAGATGTTAATCCAAATGATTTCATCTGACTTATAATAATCCTGCTTGGCTTTCTGCATCTTCCCCTTCCCTCATCTGTCCTGGCAACTGGTGAAATGCTAGCGTAGCTGGAAAGCCAGAGAAATTCCCTGAGTGCTATTGAAATGCAGCAAAATCGTGTCCTGGAACCAGCAGTGTGGTGACCAAGGGGGACAAGACAATAGCTTTCCCTGATATATTGTTCCATCACCACTCCATTGTTCTTACTTTCTGTCCTTTCTTCCTTCTCTCCTTGGTTTTAACCTGGAAGTCCCTGGACTTTAATACCCTCGTGGATAACATATCCGTGGATCCTGTGACAGGGGACCTTTGGGTTGGATGCCATCCCAATGGCATAAGGATCTTCTTCTATGACTCGGAGAATCCTCCCGCATCAGAGGTTAGTTTGAAAAATTAATCAGCTCAGCGACCTTATTCCCTGCTGTTTCCTGGTTGGAGACATAAATCTCAATTATATGTGCAAATAGAAGGAAGGACGCGGATAGATGATCCAAATGATGAGATCTAAAAAGGAGTTTGACTTTGGGAGGCATTTTAGGCAGAGTCTAGGCAGGAGACAGATGGTACATTTAAATTGGATAATTTGAGGGGATTTAATAGGGGCCCTCTATACAAAGATGTGGGTGCACGGAGGGAATGAGCAAAAGATAACACATTCCCCTGGGGCTAGCAAGGGTGGCATGAGATGGTCACCAGAAATCAGACGCAGAGTGGGAGAGGGTCCTCTGAAGGGAACGTGGCCCCTAGTTGGGGGGCATCGACACCCAGTAAGGACCCTGCAAGGAGGAAGCCTTGTACACCCTCCCTCCCTCCTTTCCTCCCTCCCTCCCTCCCTTCTTCCCAGTCCTTCCATTCCCCTGGTGGTGGTGGTGCTGCTGCTGCTCCTTGGTCAGCCCTGACCCAGAACTGGGAGGCAAAGGAGACTTCAGACTTTTGTACGAGTTTCAGCAGAGTGGGGGGCTCGGTCAGGGTAGCCAACACTGGACTGGAGTCTGTGCCCTTACTTCAGTAATGAGTTTCTCCAGCTTGGGAATTCACAAGAGTTTAGGGTCGCCTGCATGGCTCAGTCAGTTGAGCATCTGCCTTTGGCTCAGGTTAGGATCCCAGGGTCCTAGGATCCAGCCCCGCATCAGGCTTCCTGCTCAGTGGGGAGCCTGCTTCTCCCTCTCCTTCTGCCGCTCCTTCCAGCTCCTTCCCTGCTCTGTCTCTCTCTGTGTCAAATAAATAAAATCTTAAAAAAAAAAAAGAGTTTAAAAAGTGGAATGTACCACAGTGCTATGGTCTAGTCATTTGCTTGTTACCTGTTTTTAACTTTAACTCCCCTCTTTCCATGTGTCAATATACGCACAGGTTAACATAGTGCAGCAGTCCTAATGTGCAAAGAGCCATCTTCTCCAAACTTTCCCGGCAGGATGAGAAGATCAGTCACTTACTGCAATTATTCTGGCTTAAAAGACCTTTCCTTCCATCTTAGATATAGTACCCAAAGACTCCATTCATTTTCATGGTCTTTATTTAGTGGACTATTTGGGCAGTGCAACAGGAATTTAAAACTCACTTTGCTGTAGACATTTGAACATTTGCTGTGCCTCATCTTGGGTTTTCTATTTTGAGTTTTTCAATATGTATTTGTTATATTTGTTATTTACATTAAATAACCGATATAATTTTTGACATGGTTTACTGCTATGTATTCTTTTTAAAGCTTAGTTTTAAGAGTCAGTCTCATTGCCACCCACTCACCCACACAAAAATTATATTAATGCTCATGTCTCTCAGATTAAAAAACCCCAAATGAAATGTGCATTTCCAATTACTGTATGGCCCTCCATACCCTTTCTCTCTAGGTTTACAGGACAATCATGATTATGTTTAATGGCAATCCTTTGTGACTTTTACTGGTTCTTAGCTATTAGGGTTGCTGTATGGTTTGCTTAACAGAATTGAAGAAATGTATGCTGTGGCGTGTTCACTGTTCAGAACAGAGCAGAATGTTAGATTCTAATTTGTTCCTGCTTGTTAGCTCATCTGGTGAACTTGGGCCATTTGCTATAGCATGGACTTGGTTTGCTGTTCTGGAAAAAGTACTTCCTTTCTAATGATGGATCTGGTAAGGAATAGCAAAAAAGTAATAACAATCTATTATCTAATGTGCTGCCCCACAGAAGAGTGACTGACTTTTAGTAGAAAGAACCTCACTTAAGCCCAGGTGCACCGTCACCTATTTCCCAGTGAGTAACTACATCTGTTTTTTGGGCTGGCTGTTTTTATTTTATTTTTTTAAAAGATTTTTAAAAAATCTTTTTTTTAAAGATTTATTTGAGAGAGAGAAAGAGAGAGAGCGAGTGAGCATGCACTTGTGGGGGGAGAGGCGGAGGGAGAGAATCTTTCAGCAGATTCCCCACCAAATGCAGGTGGGCTGGGCAGCTGTTTTAAAGAGGTCCTTTTCAGTGCTCCCATTGACCCTTTATATACACGCACTTGCCCCCCCATAGTCTGCTGTATTTGGTGTTTTTGTATACAAGTATCTTTTCTTCCAGTCATTGTATTTTATCCTAAAGGCTTCAGAATGATAGGAAGTTAGAGTTGAAAAGAAACTTAATCCAGTCCCATACACCTTGTTCTAGAAATGAAAAACAAACAAACAAACAAAAACAAATGGGAAGGTGAAGGTCAAAACATGACCCCAGGGCCTCTGCCTTACATGGAGCTCTCTACAGTACTGTGGATTATATGAAATTGCCATTTTACTTGCCAGAAGAGTCAAATATTGGCTACTCCATGTGATCAGCTTTGCACGCCACTATGCTGTTTTGTTTTTTAAAGATTTTATTTATTTATTTGTGAGAGACACACAGAAAGGCAGAAACATAGGTAGAGGGAGAAGCAGGCTCCCAGTGGGGAGCCTGATGTAGGACTTGATTCCAGGACCCCAGGTTCATGCCCTGAGCCTAAGGCAGATGCTCAACCACTGAGCAACCCAGGTGCCCCTATTACACTGCTGTTAAATGACACAATCCTATTTCTGCTCAACTAGAGGGAGGAGACTCAACTTAAAAATCTTATATGTTGAGAGTTGCAGTCTCAAGTTCCGAGGAAAAGCTGAGTATGGTACAGAGAAATTTTTTTTTAATTGCCAGAATTTAAAAACCAAGAATTAAGTGTAAGCATCCAAATTCCTAGCTTATCTATAAATACACAAAACTGGTCTGAATTCTAGCATGGCAGTCATTCGACTATTACTAGCAGCTCCCCTGTGCCCCCTACTTAGCACAGTCCCTCCTTCTTCAGGGTCTCACACCCAGGCTGGGCTACTCACTCCTACCTCTTCCATAGTCTGGCAGGCTTATGTGTCTATCTCTCTTCAAGATGAGCTGATTAAAACCTGTCATTTTGGGCAATAAGGAGACCGGTGTCTTATATAAAGAGTAATTTTGGAACAAAATCTGATTTATCAACAGGCTTCTTAATATGGAGAAGTGACCCATCTTTAAAGTGATGTTTTTGAGTGACTTTAAAAGAAATCTTAAGCTAACATTATTTCTTTGCTTAGGTGATCCGAATCCAGAACATTTTAACAGAAGAACCCAAGGTTAGAGTGGTTTATGCAGACAATGGTACAGTGTTGCAAGGAAGTACCGTGGCCTCTGTGTATAAAGGGAAACTGCTGGTCGGCACTGTGTTCCACAAAGCTCTTTGCTGCGAGCTCTAGCAGGTCAATTTGCACCCCCATGCCACAGACACTGTGAGCCCGCCATTTCAACTGCTTGCCACTTCCCCGGGGCCACAGTGATCTCATCTAAACAGTGAATCTGACCCTGAATTGGACATGTGGAAGGATGAAAGTGCTGTTTAACTGGGAATGGAATCAATGCATAAGGCTTTTTTTGAAAGTACTGTAGCAAATCAGTCTAGAAATACTTCAAAACCTCATTTACCAATAAAAATCCTATCAATAAAGTGGCCAGCATTGCTGTGTCAGTTGTCAGGCCTTCAATCATTTAACTGTGTGTGATCCGAAAGTACTTTCCCTAAAGTGTGTGTTGCCTGGGAGCACATGAACTTTTTGCTGCCTTGATGAATCTTGTTCAGGAAACAGAGGAGCAGGATGGCCTCACATGTTGTCCCAACCAGCCGTCCTCACTCCGGGGCTCCGGTTCACCTGCTGGGAAACTAGATGTGCATAGAGTCCCCTCTAGACATACCTCCTTAGCAAGGCCATGGGACACACTGGTACAGTCTGACTCCTACTTGCCCTTCTTTTTTTTTTTTTCCCCAAAGATTTTATTGTATTTATTTTAGAGAGGCAGAGAGCAAGAGTGAGAGAGAGGATGGGCTGAGGGAGAGGCAGATGGAGAGAGAGAAGCAGGCTCCCCGCTGAGCAGGAAACCCCGTGCGGGGCTCAATCCCAGGACCCCAGGATCATGACCTGAGGGGAAGGCAGACGCTTCACCAACTGAGTCACCCAGGCGCCCCTACCATTTACCTTCTATGTATGACTTTCTCAGTAAATATAAACTTTATCCCACTTCTCCTTTTACCTGCACTTACTCAATTCTCTGGTAGTGATGTTGTGTAGGAAAATCTTAATATTCTTGGGAGTGTCCATTATCTTAGCATAAACATTTTAGTTTCTCTGACCCAGTGAAAAGAAGACGTTTGTTTGCTTCAGTGATTGAATACAGAATGGAGTCTATCATCGATTCAGGTAAAGCTAAATGCCCCAAAGTACTGTTGATACAAGTGATGGTGGTGGTGGTTTGGTTGTTCTTTTTAAGTAGACTCCACACCCAACCTGGAGCCCAGTATGGGGTTGAGACCTGAGCCCCCTGAGATTGAGACCTGAGCTGAGATCAAGAGTTGGATGCTTATCCTATTGAGCCACCCAAGGCCCTCCCCGCTACCTTTTTTTCTATTGTAACTTGCAGGGGAGGCTTTGAAGAAAATAGTAGAAAGGCAAACAAAAACATTTAAAAATCAACAGCCTTGGCCTATCTTTTGAGGGACAATGATTAGGAAGAAAAGATGACTTTTGTCATTTTCTTATAAAAGCTGGTATGAAGCGGTTACCTGTCTTTGTCTCTTCTGAAAGTATGACTTCCAGGCTGGATTATTTCTCTGGGATGCTCAAGCAGTCATGTTAGAAACAAAGTTCTTCTAAGGCACTTGCCATGATGATGGTCTAGCATTTTGGGAAAAAATTGTTTGCTGATAAATTGAAAACTGCCAACATTTTAAGGCTACTAACTTAAAGTAAGAAACAAGAAGAACATTTTGTCTGGATCGAAAAACACTTCTCCTCACATCAGATTAGAGTTATTTTAGTCACGATTTCAGTGAGCCTAATGTCATGTGCCCTATGAGTGCTCAATTATTCAGTGATACTGTTCACAGCCCTTGAAGCTGGATTTTCTGAAATCTTGTTTTGAAACTATTGCTAGCTGTTGGGCTTATGTTGAAAAAGCCACATATTTCCTTTAAAAAGAGTTGCTTGATATCATCAATGAAATAACTATACTGTTTTCTCTTGTTCTTGACAGAATAAACAAATTTTGCCCCCAACCCACCCAACAGGAAAAGAAAGCAAGTGATTCAATTTGACACAGCATCCACTCAAGATCAGTCAAAAAGAGACACATGCTTCCCCTCGGTGAGGGGTTTCATAACACTCCGAGGAAGAGAGAAACCAGCTTACTTCATTTATTTGGTGCCCAAGGCTTAGTCACAGATCAATTATGGTTCATGTATGTGTGTGTGTGTGTTTGTGTGTGAGACAGAGAGAGATAGAGAAATTAATACCCATTTGTTATATTCAAGTCTTCAGAACATTTAAGGTTTTAGAAATAAAATTGCTGCTTAGAACCCGGTACTGTGGGCCAGGCTGCCCCCAAGCCTACCCCCCAGCCTGCCCTGCGCTGTGTGAGGCCTGCTGTTGACTGCCTCCCCCCCGCCCCGTCACAGACCCTCGTGGGCCCCACAGGGACCGGAAACGCACAACAGGAACTGGAAGGCGGGTGAGGGAGCTTCTGGTGGAGCATCTTTCACTTCATGCCCCGTTCCATAATTGTGCTTTCATATGTAATTCGAGCTGCCAATTTACACTTTACCGGGGCTAAAGCTTATTTTTAGTTACATTTCCATGGAAAATGTGCACTTTGCTCTTGATTGATAGATATATTTTGACAGTTAATGCAGGTTTACCCAGTCAAGGCTTGTTTTAGTTGAAGGTGAAAATGGAAGAGGGAAAAAAAACCTTACTCAGACAGATGTCCATATTTCTCTTTTTATTGCATTCGTTGTCTAACAACAATAATACTCATTGGCAAGAAATTTATTTACACTGACAAATTAAATTTAATCACAGGTATTTTTAGATTGGTCAGAAAACAGAGGGCCGTTGTGATAGTTTGCTTTGAATGCCTCTGAAAACCAAAGAGTAAGAAATGTCGCTTGAAACGGAACAATCTAGAGAAAGTACATATTAACCAAGCACAAGAGAACAATTCAGACGTGGCACTATTGTCTCTTCCATGCAAATGATCAGACACCAAAATGTACAAATTAAAAGTTTCAGATAACATGCTATCCATATTTATTGGACTTAAAATGATTTTTCAAACAACTCTTTTCTTTTAGTGATATATAAAGAAAGATTAAAATAAATCAACTGCTTACAATGGAACAGAATTCATTCTCTCTTGTTTCTTTTTTCAGCTGGCTGGTTCTGTTAATGATATGTAGCAGGCGTACTAGTTGTTTAATTGCAACACCATTAAAAAATATAAAAGCAGTAGTGATGACCATAAATAATATTAAGGGAAACATATACGTATACATACACACACACAGACATATATACATATATATGTATATATACATATACATATATACACACATATATATATATATCTCTAAGGGGTTTTACAAAGCATTAACTAAACCTGATGTTGTTGGAAGGTGTTACCTAGCTGGAGTGCCTATCAATTCCCACTTTTCAAGGTAATTTAACTATTTGTGGCCAATTGTTCTTTCATGGATGAAGGATTAAATCCTTCAAAGAAAAGCTGGGTAGGTGGGTAAAAGAGCTGAAAGAAAGAGAAATGTACACCTTCCAACAACACACTCACACCCATATCCACTTGCATTATATTTGGCAATGACCTAACTATGCCATCACTCCACAAAAGAAGTAAATAAATGATCATGTGATGGCAAAAGTGCCATCAGAGAGCCAGTAGTTAGTGACTTAAGCATCACAGCTACCAAATACATCATTGCAGAGCATGAGCGAATGCACAGTAACACATGGTGCAATTTTTAGCCAAGGAAACTGCGGTCCACAGTTGAAATGCCCAAAGCTGCATAAATTTCTGAGGTTCAACTCAGCAATGTGCAATCTTGACATCAAAAGCATTAACCAAACATTTGAGGAAACTTTATCTTACTAAAATACCAAGTATCTAATAAATCAATTTTACCAAAATATATAAACATGTAGAAGGATAAGTGCATTTAGTAGAAATACTTACATTAAAAAAATCTCTTAAAATCTTATGAGCCATTCAATGTATACACACACAAAAAGTGGCAATAAGGCTATGATTACTGCTTGGGGGTCCTAACTGACATTACCAAGTTTCATATTATATATATATATATATATATATATATATATATATATATATGTGCAATGTGATTGCTGTGTGTGTGTGTGTGTAAGGTGGGAATATATTCACACATATGTAGTTCTGTACATCTACACACGTGGCATGCACATTATTGAGAAGTTGCCTCTGGTTCTCTTATTCTTTACCTCATATTCATTCTTGAATCTCTAGAAGTTTTGGGGTTGGGGTAGGGCCAAAGATTGGAAATCATCACATTTCTTTCCTTCCCCACTCTGTAGATCTGGAAGCAGGTCACACGCTGTGCTTGATCCTCACCACTCATGTACGTGAGCCTTCAAGTCACAACATTCCCTCGACACATCCACAAAGATGCTCACACACAAGCACTTAAAGACTCTGTTTACCATAAGGTAGAACTTGATGCTTTTATTTTCCAGGGGAAAACTGATTCTGTAAGGTTTTTCTTTGCCCTCTGACTTCCTGGTTGGATATATTCTATGCCGCTACTATAAGTTACTCAAATACTACTGGTGTACTGTGTGGTATTATTTTTTTCTCCAGTGTTTTGGACCAAGGCTAAATTTCCTGAGACTTTAAATCCTTAAGACAAATATAATCTGCCTATGTAGCCAGGCTGTTTTTCAGGAATGAGTCACCGAAACACATTTGTATTTCCTACAACACAACTTTCTTTTGAGAATTGACTCCCTACCCTCATTATTGTAATGAAGAAAATTCTAGTAGACAATATGCACATTTTATTTCTGGACTTCATCCTTAAATGCTTAGCTTCAAAATAGTACATGGGTAGATCGTTGACTAAAGGTAAATTTCAAAATATATTTTTAAGAACCCTGGACTTCTCTTTTCCATTTTACCTTTCATTCAGAAAGCGCTGCGGACTTACCAGTAAGTAGGTGAGCACCAGCCACCAGAATGAAATGCCCCTCACCAGGGCCATACTGAGACTGAGACAGGAAATTTAGTTGCTCAAGTGGAATTTGGTAATTCTTATATATGTCAATGTATTGAGGGGGGCTACAACATATCCAAAGTATGAACATTTCTTTTAGGATGGTTGGGACATCTCCCTTTAGAATCTTCGAACACTGGGCTTCTTCTCCTAAAGCTTGGTCTATACAATCTTTAGCATTTAGAAATGAGTTAGAATATCCATATAGATGCAATTTTTTATTTACCTTTTAAAATACAATTTTAAAGCACATGTTGATCCTATTACACAAAGAATCTAGATGAGAATTCTTTATCTTCAGCAAAAACCATAAAGACTAATTAAGGTGCTAGATCCAACAACCTGTGACTATTTTTGTAGCTTGAGCCTGAGATGGCTTAAGCTTTGGGGCCAGAGACTGACACAGGATGAAAGGCAGCAGCAAGAGTTAATTTGGTTCCTCCCCTATCCTCCTGCCACTTTGTTTCCAACAACAAAGAAGCACAGAGTAGGCATTTCCATTTCATGCCCCTTAAAAGCTAAGTTTGGAGTGAGCACTATCATACTGAGGTCATGAACCCTTACCGGTTAAAAATACTTCTGTAATGTTGAGGGCTGGTAATCCCCCACCACCCAAGCTAAAGGAGGATAACACAGAATAATACCTTCATTGTCATGAAATTAACAATAGACTTCATCAGTGCGACCCAATGGGCAAAATTAGGTTTCTACCCTAATGTATCACTCTGAAGTACACTTCTGATTCACATAAAAAAAGAAAAAAAAAGGAATGAGATAGCTATTACATAAACTGTAAGTTACTTTAAGGGAGATGGTCTTAAATAATCTGTTATAAAACCTGAAGTCCTTTAATGGAAAACTCTGCCCCAGACATTCAGCTCATACAACGCTCCCTGTCTACAGCTTGGCCTCACCACACATTCCCTAACCCCCAAAGCATTACCTATACCCCAAAACAATTTGGCTGTTGTTAGAGTTATACTGAGCTGTCATTTAGGGAATATAGTTCACAGTAACCAGATATTCCCTTTCTGTTCATTTTCTGATAAATAAAAAACTGCAGAGTTTTTAAGGTCCATAAAGCAACAATTCGGTTTAACAGTATGGATACCGAAAACCACTAGCACTAAAGTGGTTGTTGTTGAAGACACTGGAACCTCCATTAGGTATCATGCACTAGAGTCAAGAAAAGAAATAATACGAAAACAAAATGTTCATAAGATCTGAGGTCCTGCACTTTGTTTTCATACTCTGATCAATCAGTTTACATTTTATCCTTGGCTGGACAGTCAAATCAAATGCCTTTTACGATTTCAGCAGTTGTAAGTAGTAATATTAAAATAACTCTGGAAGACCTAAAATTACTGTAACTTAACTTAAAAAAAATCAAAATAGTCATAATACAAAATAAATGATTTGAGGAATAATAATTTGATTTATAATATTTTCAGTTGGTCATTGGTCTAAATATTGGGAGTGTACAAATAAAGTTCAAGAAAAATACTTTTAAGACATTTAAGAAAATGTAATATAATAGAGATCATAAATTATTTGCAGAGATTGAGACTTACAGACATTTCCAGTATGTACAACCATTTTTAAATATTACTGAAGTGTAAACATAACTTAAGATAATCATCCTCTATTTCCACTCTTACAATGAATACAGAGCAAAACTTCCAGTGTGATCCAAATCGCTTTTTTCCCCACAGATAAGCAAAAATGGCAAAAAACTTACAATAGCAAGCACTAGTATTACCAGATTTTGACTAATTTAGTCTTTTAGCATTAGAAAAGATCTGCTGAATTTTATAGTTCATAAATAGTGGTTCTTTGTTTCTCAAGATATTAATAAATAGCAAAGCACCACACATCTGAAATATTAATAGAGTATCCAGTATGGCAGTTTCATTATCATACACCAAATGAAGATAGTCAGAAAAACATACATAGTGACTTTAATAATCGTGAATCACAATGTTACTTTATGTTTCAGAGCATTGACTGAATGATCTTTACTAGGGACAAAAGGATGGGTACAGACAATATGCGCTCACTATAACAGGCCTTAGGGAAAGAACAGAATTATAAGTTTCTAGTTTAGCCAATTCCAGATTTCAGATAAGCAAGCCAAAAAAAAAAAAAAAAAGATTGAAAGAAAGAAATTAAATTAAATCAAAATTTTAAAAAGTCACAATGTCCAAAAAACGAGATGGTGCTATATGGGCAGGAGCCCCTTTACATTATCTGTTACCTGTAACCTTCAACAAAAGCCTTCCCCAAGCTCTGTGTGTACATTTCCAGGGTAAGATATGGACAGAGACACCCCCCCCAACACTGTGTAGTAAAGGAAGTAAAATACTAGTTCAAGATTTGTCCGGCCTCAACTCTCATTTTGAAACTCGTCCCTTGGAAAGTGGATGACCTCATTTTTATAGCCAACGCAGCAAAGACAACCAGAAACACAAGCATAAAAAGCAAAACAATGACAAACAACATCCGATCATTTGAAATTTCTCAAGATGAGTTGATTTTCTCCTCTTTCTGCCCTAGTCTCCTACAGTTGAATTAGTTTGATGAAACACTGAAATCCTTAATACTGGCTTGAAAATAAGCACGACTGTCTCCACTGGTAGGCTGCAGCCTGTGTGGGTACTCTTACACGAGCTTTACCTGTAACGTGGAAATCTCTTCAGGACGAAAGAGAATGGCTCAGGAAAACCATTCAAAACATCTCTAAAATGAAACCATCAACTCTCCTTTACAGGAACATTCCATGTGCTCGATAAAATTGCTTCTCTGGTTGAACGCTCCTCAAATCTGAATTTTCTCTAACCGGTATTTCTATTGGTCTTAAAAGGACATTTGTTAAAACACTAACTGAGCCCACTTGGGAAATCTTAAGTAGAAAATCTGTGACAGGTTCCTGATTGTGTCACAGTCAGGCTGAAGACTAGTCGGAATGTTCCCCAGGGGAGGAAACCTGAAAATGTTGGTTTCCTTAAAAATCAATTTCCTGTCGAATTTGCTGGGGAAAGAGGGAACTACGGTCTGTGTGTCGGGGTCGCTGACCCGCTGAGCGCGCAGCGGGAGCGGAGCAAACAACGGTCCCGGAGCCCGCGGCTGCCTTCACGGCAAACTCTAGGGGACAGTTGTCGCCCTCAGAGCCCCAAGGCAATACCCACATCCACATCCTGAAGGCTTCGGTTTCCTTCTGGAGTTAACAGGTAACGAATTCTTCTCTCTTTTTCCGATGCCCAGCGAACAGGAGAGGGCGCTTGCCTTTGAGCAGGGTACCCAGTCATGTGGCAGAGCACCCGTGTTTCTACAGTGGGGTCGGCTCACTGTCCAGACACAGAAATGAGGGGGGAAACTTGCCCACACAGCAGCGTAGACCCTAGAGCCCAGATCTCCTGGCAGGCCGGTGCTTGGGCCGCCCAGATCTGTGCCGTTGCCCCGTTTCAGGTTCCCAGACTGGAAGGTCATGGCACTCCACTAACACCACCGGGCGTGTCATGCTTTTGTTGGGCAGGGTGACACTGGATCCCCCCTGTGAGACACCCACCCAACGCAGCCCAAGACGCTGGTAAGTAACAGAAGAGAAAAACACAGCTATTTTGCATCTTTCACAAATAAGATCCTTGGTTTGATAAGAAACAAAGGTGGCTTGGGATTATTTCGGGAGGTCAAAATTAAAAGTGTATTCTATCATTGCAGAAAATGCAGTTATGCCCCCATGCGGTTCCCCCGTAGGCCTAGAGCACGTTACCCCTGTCACGAGTTCCTTCGTCCTTTGCAGGAGAGCAGGGCAGGAGGAGGGGAGAGCTGTCTGGGGTGCTGGGGGTAGAGGGAGGTGTGTTACTGCTCGCCAGCACCCTCTGACGCAGCGGTCATCTTTTCTGTCTTTTTAGATTTCCTCTGCATTTGCTCTTGTTCCTTCCTTCGCAGCTTTTCTCTTTGTTTTTCCATCTTCTCTTGAGCCTTTCGAGCCTTCTCCAGAGATACCTTCATTTCCTTGAGTTTTTTTTTGACCACTGCTCGGTCCTGGGATGACGTCACTCCCAGAGCCTAGGAAGGAAATACATAAACAAATTGAACTCGAAAACCAATGGCCTCTCTTGCTTGGGAAGAGTTTGATATCACAATATGTTCAGACTTAAGAACTGATTTAAACATAACCAAAGAGGTAAAAACCAAGAAAGAGCTGCTTCCATTTGCCAAAAATCTCCATTCTTAGGGGCTGAGCTTTATTTGCCCTTTGAAGTCCCTCACACAGTACACCCTAAACCCCATTAAATAAATGCCTTCCAAATTCATATTTAATGGGTGAAGGAATAAAAAAGGCGGGGAGAGGGGCACAATTCTGCTTCTCCAACCTTTGGGCTATAGACATTTACAGGCAAAAGTATTGCTAAGCTCATCAATATTTTTAAAAGCTAGGAGTGGGCACCTGCTGCCACAGAGGGCTCCAAGAAGGGCAGGGAGGATTGAAGTGGCTTCCTGTTTGCCAATGCAGTCATTTACAATGAGGACCAAAAATGTCTTTGGGGCCAAAATACTCATGTCAGCAGGACCAGCCATTTTCTCCCTGTGGGCACACCTATAAAGGAATCCTGTTAATGAGGAGGTTGCTTAGTGAGTTTGGAATTCAGAATAAGAGGAGTTGGTTGCGTACTTTTAAATGTTTCATGACCTTCAGAATCAACAGCAGGATGCATCCATCTCCCCAACAGGGACAGCCTTGTCAATGGGGCCTTCATAATCACACACTATTGATTGATCTCTAACCTTTTCAAGACTGTCAAGAGATACTCATCTGCTCTTCAGCCCAGCAGGGGGCTGAGGTTGAGGGGGTGGGGAGCTGAATGTGAGGTCTTTTTGCCCTTTTTCCACAGGGGTCGGTGCTCCCCTCAGTCTCTAAAAGGGATGGACTGGACAGGTGAAATGAGAGTGGGATGGAGCCAGGGAGACATGGCCTGTGCGTACTGGGGGGGAGAAAGTTCTGAGGAGAATGTCACCTCAGTTTTGGAGAGGCGTGCAGGGAGGAGTGGGGGTGGAGAAGAGATGAGTAAGGAAGGAGAGACTCATGGATCTAGGTTTTAACTCTAATGTGATGACAGAGTTCACAATGGCCATTATTACAACTCATACTACACAGGAAGTCAGCAGAGTTCATACATGGACCATGTGTTGCTGGGCGGAAGCAATGAGAGGGAGTCCCTCGCTCTCCTACTCAGCAGCCTACTGTTTGATTGAGGGTCCCTGACCACTTTCCTAAACTCCATTTACTACTCAAAAATGACACAACGTCCTCTCTGCTGACCATTGATAAGAATTACCTCTCACATATGCAGAATGCTCTTGTTCTAGTGAAAACATTTCAGGTGCCATGAGCAACACAACTTGTACCTCGTAATCTCACACAGAGATAGAATTCTTTACCTTAAGTTTATTTCCATCCAACTGCAGGAGTTGCTCGCCAGTGATGTTTTGGGCACTGAATTCAGATACATACTGCTCCAGATTTAGGCTCATGAGCCAGTGAGAAACCTGCTGCACGCTCCATTCATGAACGGCCCGATTCTGACACTGACTGTGTTTGGGAGACTGTCCATCATCAAGGATCTGAGGTAGGAATGTTATGCAGCGTTGTTAAAGGACCAAAATGCTTATTATGCTAAAGGACCACGGCTTATTATGCTATCAAAAGGAATTTCTTGCCAACTAGAGCCACATTTATTTTAAACCATAAAATGAATAAGCTAATGGTTCTAGTTGTGTGTGTAACACACACAGAAACACACGCAGTTATTGCCTACATTTTTTTAGGTATTTGGAAATCTAAAAATTTCCCCAGTAAAGCGGCGTTATTAATGCAGGAAGTTTAATACTGAAAAATACACTCCAATGTTGCAAGCCTTTACATTAGAACACTTTGGAAAGAGTATAAGATGCAGAAAACAAGTATTTCATTGATCTCTATATGCAACGCATCATTCTGCATGTAGCCTCTGAGAAGACATTAGAGGTATAGAAAAATACATTGACAAATATGGAGGGATCTTTCCCTTAGAAGAGGACAGAATTAAGTCCTCAAGCATTGTGAGGGGAAATTTTGCAGCCATGGTGTCACTTGAGCAGCAAGAGAACCCGTGAAGGAGGCAGGGCAGGTAATGTCCATAATGACTCTCAATAAATGAATAAGGTGAGGCTTAGCAAGTCTACTTGTCTGTCGGGAGCACATAGCTAGTGACTGGCAGAGCTTAACAGTTTGTAGTTTATTCCAAATCTCAAGCTCTGCCCAGTGTAGAACATCACTTTTAATAGTGCACAGGGCAGCTTGGTTCCTAGAACCTCTAAGCTGAGAGGCGATGAAGGCGATGACAGGTCTGGGAGGAGACACAGGAGTCACCTCAGGGAACACTGACAAGGGGATGGGGTAAGCCGAGATGAAGGCAGAGGATGTGGAACAGAATGGACTGTGTCAAGGTAGTGGTGATGGGGGACCGATCGAGGGACCTTGCAGGTCGAACCTGGTGATCCTCTTGACTCAGAAACATCTTTTAAACTTAGGTATAGACAAGGGCAGAGAGCAAAATGATTTAACATAAAGAAACCTTCCACTACAGACACAAGTATTCTTGTATAGTTTGAGTTTTAAATCATTTTGCAGAGAGAGAAGAGAATATTCAAGCAATACCACAGAAGCCACCACACACAGCCCACTGATAGCTCACCTCGTCATCTATCATATCCAGGCTCTGAGTGAGGGAGCAACAAAGGAATCAAAAAGAAAAGTGTTATAGAAATAGGAGACACAACATACATAGTACAAAGATTTAAATTTTAATTCATGCCAAGCCTGAAGAGTATGGGCAGAAGAATTGAAGAGACAAAAAGTTTAAAAAAAATCACGTTAGAAAGAAGTAACTTAGAGCAAGTATGTGGAGCAACAATATCTTTATTTCCACTGTTTCTCTCCCTCCCACCCCCTGCCCTAAATACTGGCATTTCTTTCCTCTCCTTATCTTTGCAGCACTAAGTCCATCACTCATGTAATTTCCTGTTTCTCTGCAAACATTTATCTTCTGGGAATTCTTGGCAATGCTAATTTGACCCTGGCTTCTAAATAAGTGATTCTCACCCAGTTTTTCTCCCTTCTCCACCACAGTGGTTCTCAATCAGGGGACACACACTACTCAGAGGGACCTGCAGAGCCCTGGGATAGGCGTGATGGTGGGGGAAGGGAGGGAGGGGGGGTGCAGTCCGTAAACTCCCAGGTGCTTTCTGGGTTGTCCCTGTTTTTGCTCTCTAGTGCCCAGCCTCCCACCACCAACTCCCTCCCCCCTACCAGCCCCCAGCTCAGAGTCATCTCAGTTAAATCAGAAAGCCAGAGGAGGTCCCTGGAGAGCTGTAAAGGGGCTCAGAAACAATTCTTTGCCTTCATGTTGAGATAGAGAGAGAGAGAGATCATGAAGATTTCATACCAAACCTGAAACCATGGTCCTGATGATTTATATGCAAAATCTACTTAAGAACGTTTTCCTGGTGATAGGTGACAGGGACAATGCATGATCTCAGAAAGCAGGCATGTGTGAGCGCCTTGAGCGTACCTCATCTGATGAGAGTGCTAAGGACTGAGAGAGCCCTGGTGTTTTGGGTTCCGCTCCTAGGCCACTAAGGTCTGCCGAACTGGTACTGCTGGGACTGAAGTCATCGTTGAAGGTGAAATTCTGTTAAAATAAATGAATCTCAGTGTTAAATGAGCACAGTGAGTGAACTGGATGTAGGTGTATTTGCAAGTCCTAAAAAGGTTCTGTTTAAGTAATCTTTGAAGGAATTCATATTTGGTTTGGTGATGACCTTCAAGTGGCAGTGGTTGAGAACACTGTGCCTTTTGCAACTGATAGGGAATTCTGGATGCTTTCACCATCAGATGAAAGGATAAGTGTTTTGGAAAAATCATTCTTCAATCCCTCTTCAAGGATACAGCATTCATTATACTCTGCAACTGCTTAGAGGAGTAATATTAATAAGCCTATCTTCTTTGACCCTACTCGCGATGAGTAACAGTGCAAGTAAAAATACAAGATGGTGTGGAGAGCCTGAGTTATTAGGAACAGATGGCCATCCATATTAGAAAGGTAGCTTGAGTACCCCCTGGGAAGGATCGCTTGCTGTTGGTTGTGATAAATACTGTGAGAAATGGCAGATCCTCCCCTGGATATAACCTTCAAGATGATGAGTTCTGGGGGGAGGTCACAGTCTGACAATACACTAGTAGTTACACGCTAAAATACAACTCTCACACAGCACCCGCAGAGCACCAGAGAGGCTGCGGAACAGATAAGCACCCGGGGCTGGTAGAGTTGAGGGCTGGGGCATAAAAAAAAACTTTCCCAGAACTTCATTAAAATGTTCAGTGGATATTAAAGTCAAGTAAATTCACAATGACCACGTGGCTACATTTGTGAAAATATTTTAAACCAAATCTGTAGTCTTGCTAGTGCAAGAGTAGGAGAATTATTCAAACTACATTTGGATTTCTCAAATCCAATACCAAAAATGTTTCAAGATCAAAGTGGCCTGTTGATGCCAAAACTTCTTTTGCTGGTAATTCTAGAACAGCTGGCTTCTGAGGAACTCTAAGCCCTTGGCCAACACCATCATGTTCCATATTCGGCTTCCTTAGGACCTGGACCATTAGTTTTCCATTAGGTCCCCTTGCCATTGGGTTCAATAGGTTGTCAAAAATAACTACATGCCGGAGGCTGGAGAATTCAGTGCCAGATAAGCCCCAAGGTTTGCTAAACTCAGAAATGGAGACTAAATCCAAGCACACGGAGCTAGGCTAGGAGAACATGGAAGCAGGAAAGCATTTAACACGACACACTACTATTTGATATCGTCAACAGACATACCACCCCGAACCCTGTCCAAACCCTGTGAGCTGCTGACCTCAAGAAAAGAGTTAAATTCAAGGCACATTAATCACACATTTCTGTTTGAGAAAGAAAAGCGAACATAGATAAAAGGAGACCAAACAACATGTGAAAGTTAGCCACCATATACGTTTCAATAAAATGTTAGATAAGGTTTGCAGCGTCATGCTGGAAATAACAACCATGCGTTTAAAAACAAACAACACCCATGCAATTATATTTTCTAATTCTGCTAAAGTTAAAGAACTTTGGTGATGACATTATAAGTTTTTCAACATTTAGCTTTGATTTAAAAGTAGAAATAAGTAAGGGTGCTATGTCAGCATTGGTTTGTTTTAAAGAGTTTCATTTAGATATATTGAACACATATTCAGTCCCAAATTTATTTGTTTTCCAGTAAATCTCGAAGAGCACAGTAAAAATAGTCTTGTAATGTAATTTAGAGTGGAATACTTGGTAAACAGATCTATCATACTGTACCATGATTCAAATGCATCTTTCCCAGCATGGCTTAACTGTCAAACTGAGATTAAATAGCAATATGTGAAAAGACAGGCAAATCAAAGATTAACATACAATCTAGAATGGAACAGCATTAAAGAGGGTGATGGTTAAATGAGGCCTTCTTTTTCCCCACACAAGAAATACCATGCATGGTTTATTGCAGTGTTATCACATTGGTTTCTCAGGTCCAGAGTAAACACACAAGTTGAGAATGCTTTCCAAAGACTTTGAAGAGGAGGAAGGATTTGGGGTTTTTCTTGTTTGCTTTTTAAATCCATGTGTTTTCTACCTTGGACCCCTTTTTATCTGAAATTAGAGTTTCAGGAGAAGGCTGAAGGGGACTCATAGGTGAAGGCAGGTCCCTGAAGGAATAGGATCCTTTCCGGCTTTCATTAAACCACGAGAAAGGCATGCACGGTGAGCGCGTGGAGGCCTGAGGCGCCGGAGATGGCTTCAGTTTCCAGTGTTCCAGCCTGCCTCTGAAGATCCTGTTTTATGAAAAAAAAATGCATATTACACAAAGGAAGGGCAAGTCTGACATTTGCTGAACTGAATTCTGAAGGGTCTCTGAATACAGTTCAAAGCAACAGTTTGACAAATTGTTCTACAAGAGAGGAAAAACTTTGCATTTTTGACTAGGATATTAATCTTAGTAGCTATCTTTTTTTGCATCATCAACATTTTCATTTCGCTATTGCCATAGTGAATTCTTATGAAATGTGCTTAATAAGTGGATGTGGGCGAATTAAAACCAGGGAGGGGCATGGTCTTTCTGGAACTGCTATCGGGTTAACCATCACAGCATTCCCCTTATTCGGGTGATATAGCTGTGCCTTACCGCTAGTGACATTAGCTCTTAGCCAGCATTCTTTCCTGGCCTTCTCTGAACTCATGCTTCCAAGAGTCTGGGACTTTACAAAATGTTGTATTTAAATAATTTGGAAATTTCAGGGCTTATGATATTTTAAGCAAAATACACACCTTATTGGTTTTTCATCATAATCTGGGTGCCTTTTCCTAGGAGGAGACCAGAGCTTGTTTGGAGGTCCTAGCAGGGAGCACAGCTACTCGTGTACCTTGACCAAAGAATGGTCCTCCCTTATTGGGGAAGGTCTTCAACTGAGCACAAGGCTTCGAGAGGGACACATTCAGAGTGATGAGGGAAGAAGGGGTCCCGGTGTAGCCAGCTAGTTCGTCCTCACACTTCCTAGGAGGAGGCTGGACTGCAAGTCTCAACACTCTCTTTGGAGGTCCAGGATCTTTTACCTCTTGAGCACAAGGCCTTAGCCCTTCCCTTAGCCTCTATTTCTCTTCTATAAAACGTGGATATTGTAGGTAGCTTATATGTGGTTGTTAAGAATTAAATGAATCTTGGGAAACTGTGAAAGTATAAACAGTTTATGGTTATTATTTATATTTAAAGGAGTCAAAGGCATTTGAGAAGCACAGTTTGAAAGCAGATATTTTTATTTGTGCATGTACTTGCATATTTATATTTACTTCTGGTCAGAAAAAAATAATTATCAAGAGCTGAGGCAGGAATGGGCAGTTATTTCTTTGCATCTTGGAAGAGGTCAATATGTCCAAATGAGATTTGACACAATGCCTATTATTTGTTAGCTGTTGATGTCATGACAACAAAGAGATTCCCTTTCAATGAAAAGTGCCTCCACACTGCAGCTAGAAAACTCATTATCCACATGTATACTGGACTTCAGTCTTCTCACATCTAATTTAAAATATTTTGAAATATTTATACTCTTCAAATATTTTAAAATATATTTCAAATTACATAAACAGTCTAACTCCTAACAGCTTCTGTTTCTTTCCAAAGATTGTTGTGAGACTCAGATGGGACAATAAATGTGAAAGCATCTTGTTAACTGCTTTGCAAAACAATGTACAAATGTAAAGGATTATAAAATTAGTGACCAAAGAGAATGGAGACATCAGTGAAGTTTTGGTAGAATACTGAAATCATAGGTTGGGTGAGTAAAATGGCTGGTCATTTAAAGATTTCAGAATACCTGATGATTATGATGGTGAATTCCTTTTAAAGAAAAACAATAAAGGGGATAGTAAGAATAACAGAGAAAGCCCAATGAGAGATGTGTCAACCTTCAATCTCATCTGAAACTCTAAACTAAACAGTTCTGTATCCTGAAGTCTACTTACTTGCTATTAAAAGATGGGGTGGAGGTCGGGTACGATAACTGAACTTAAGAAATCATGCTAGCAGAGGCAGACTGGTCCCCTGTAAGAAGCACTTTTTATTCCTGGATGGTGGACCAGTGAGGTGTTTCCCAAACAAGTCTGATAAGAATCACCTGGAGCAGCCGCTCAAATACAGATTCTTGGGCACCTGGACTTACTAGAATCTGGGAGAGAAGAGGGGAAGAGTTTGCCTGGAATCTATATGTTAACACATGTCTGAGCTGACTCTTGGAAGTTTTTAGTATCTATATTTATTTCTATTATCCTGAATGCAAATATGAGGTTTCTGGAGAACAGATGACTATTTACTAACAGAAAATCATTGCACAGGCTCCCCATGTCCTAATTTCCTCTTTCCAGAGTGACAGAATGAAAGCCACTTGTCATCTTATACTTGGTCTACATTGTAAGTGAGGCATCTAAAAAATACCAATCTGGATGATTATATAGACAGGGACAAGTAGTGCTGTCCCCACTTCCCCTATGGGAGAAGGAGAGAAATCTTATCTTCTTAATGTCAACAAACTCAACTAGGGAAGGGTCTTAGGTTCTTATCCTTCAGAAAGTAACATATGTCCTAGGGGGAGATAAGACCAGTCTCCAGCTTAATAAGCTTGGGAATGTCTCCATGAAGCTGGGTCTTATCCCCTCTCCCTATCCCACTCTTTGAAAATGAAACCACGCACCTCATGAGAGGTAAATCTCTGCAGTTCTCACTATCTATCCAGTCATAATTTAACTTCTAAGGCTTGACTTTTTTTTTTTTTAAGGCTTGCCTGTTAAGCTTAGGTTCCACAGTCCAGTAAAAAAAAATGCTCAGAAAGCTCTAACCGTGCAGAATCATATGAATATTTTTTTCTGTAGTCCCACATTCTTATGATTGGACATGTTTGAGATAAACTGGGCCTAAGGGTTATTTCCCCAATCAAAGTAGCATAGGAGGTTTTTTTTTTTTTTAAGATTTCCATCCATAATTCAAAAAGTTATAGTAGTTGCTTAAATACATGGCTATTGTTTTAAAGTTTATAAAGAGACCATAATTAATGACATGACTGTCTTGTCCTACTCCCAAGTGAATTTACCTTGTAATAATGCTTTTGGGACAACCACCACCATCCCCATTTTTTTTTTTTAATTAGGCAGGAAATAAGAATTTTGCTGCCTACCTGCTCTCACTCTAATGCCTTACTAGAAAAGGACTTTTAGTTCAAATTCTGACCATGTAACATTTCAAACAAAATCCCAAGACAACATATAATTAAATCCTTTCATGAGAGTCTCACTGCCAGTAAAATAGTCAAGACTAATAATTCCATGAGGACTTTGAACATCTAGCCCCTAAGACAGGTCTCATAATGTGAGTGTGATGAATGACATCACAGAAGCTCAGCTTTGGGTGACACTCAGAGGCTTTCTTCCAGTTTTCTATACAAGATGATGGAAGGACTGGAGGACTTGTCACGTAGAAAGCCAAGAAAGCCCACTTCTAAGGAAACAACCAATGTCCTCACAACTGAGAACCACCATGTCCTGGAGTCCTTTGAAGAGAATTTTCCAGATTTCCAGGAAGTCTCTCTATGCCCCTGCTGAGGCTCTATCCTGAATCCTTCATTTCTTTGTGCAACCTTGACTCCAAAACCCCATGAACCTATGTAACTTCCGTCTGTCTCCTGGTATCCTGAATAGTCAGTATGCTTCCGTTTCCTTGGATCTAGAGTGCATTCATTAAAAAAAAAGCAAACTCTCCATTACTTCATAATTTCAGATCTATCAGCTTACCAGACATGCTTTCTAAAAAAATATCAATTTCCTTTTGGACAATTTGATGTCTTGGGCCTCCACAAGCAGCAGAGAGAATTTACTGACCACTCATCCATCGTCTGTTCACTTGGTGGAGAAATCCATTAACATAACATAAAATTCTTCCTTCCTTCCCTCCTGCTCTCCTCCTTCCTTTTTTCCTTCCTACCCTTCTTCCCTCCCTCTATTGACAGTTTTGACTCTGAGAGCAGATTATATGGTCTGGGATGCATAAGCTTCACAGAGATCCTTAATAACCCCTTGAAAAATCAAGATTGGTAGAAATGAGTGCTTCGTGGATCTTAAAGTAATTCCCAGTGGATCAAAATAGGTATGTGTTTTGTAATTCATCGTTCTTTAACTTGTACACTATCATTTTTGGTAAAAATGGAATTATAAGTCACTGATGTAACTGCTTGTTTTATTGTTAGGAACTGGGAAAAAGAATGGCTTCATTTTTTTTTTTTTTTAAAGAATGGCTTCAAATTAAGTCTGTCGTATTAAATTGTCATGGGTGGGGGCGGTTGAGGTGGGGGTAATCACTGTTTCCTGGCATTTAAATAGTTCATAATTAACAACTTTACAGAGCAGTTAACCCAATTACATGCATCTTTAAACCAATTCGTCCTGGGGTCAGCATCCCAAAATTAAGTTGCTCAGGTAAACATTCCATAGCAGTTTTTTTTTTTTTTTGGTTTGTCTTTGAATACTAGGTTTGTGAAGTATTCAGAACAAATTGAATGTCATCAAGATATAATTAGGAGTTCAGGAACTGCCAGAACAGAAAAAGTATAAGCAGAATATAGAATTCAAGCAGGTAGTTAAGGAGGTTAATTAAAGCAAGTTAGGTGTATTCAGAGGAAGGGCTGCAGACTTCCATTTATTCAAATCAGATGGAAGTCATTCTGTAAGGTTCTAACATCCATCAGGGAGACTGAGGTTGTAAAGCCAACCCCTTCAGAAGGGCCCTTGGAGCTCCTGACAGGTTAACAGCTATGACAAGCAGGTGTCCATCTGCAGTTCAGGCCAACTACCATTGACACATCCTGCTTCGACCCGGAGTTACGGTCCAAACCTCTGATCAATAACCAATAATAGCCCATCTGAAATGGTCACTGTAGAGTTTAACCTTAATTTCTGACAGGGTTCTGGACATGCTACCATGGAATATGGCAACTTGGCACAGCATATATTTTAAGGGGAAGAAATGTGAGAAAGAGCAGGTACAGGAAGGGTTCTCTGGCCTTCCCCATCGCTTCTGAAGCAGATCCTAAGACTCTTATGTGAGAGGTGCCTTTCCTACACCAGGAGGAAAGGAACATCCTTATCTCTGCAGATAGAGGGCCACCAAGAAGAGTCAGAAAGAAGGAACGAATAGGCCTTGCTAAGTTTCCCATTGTTTTAGTTCATGCCCTTTTGTGCTAATACATTTTTCCAAGACTTTCCACTCTTCAACAAACCTAGCATTAAAATG